GTGTTAAATGGACCATCAAAATAAAGTCAAACCTGATAAAAATTATAGGTAATTTACTTGTTTATGTTAATTCCAAACTTTAGTTTTCACCTTGGCAAAAATTACAAAATATTCCCCTTTTAAGCTACTCTCTTCTATTTGAAATTTTATTTTAATCTGAAATTAGATTTAATCATTACATATTGTCTTCAGAGTAACGATAGCGCCTCTAGCCAGCAAACAAAAATACATTTTGCTAATGTTCCCATAAGTTATAAATGACTGTTCTCTGGATGTTATATGTCCAGATTTTTAAATGTTTTTTTGGTTATCTGAACGTCAAGGAAACATTCCATCATTCTTCCAACATTATTGGAACGTTACTTTTGAACGTTTTCAGAACATTCTTAAACAAGTCAAGTTGTTACAGTACAGTACATTTAAGTTAGATGTTAAGTCCCAGACTAAAATGCATGTTTGAGAGGTTTTGACTGAAAGCACGGTCAGTGCCATTGTTTTGTCTCAAGATGCACACTACCAGAATATATATAAAATATTACAAAATATTGAAATGCCCTAATTGATCTAAGGCCTAATTATGGCTCAATATAAACACGTCTGTAAAACTGGGCCAATATGATTTACTGTGATTAAAAATATGATTCCCAACTAGAGGTAAATTAATGTCTTCAAGTGTCACGATACAAAGGGATGCATACAAGTAAGTGATACGTAAGCAGTTTTAATGAGCCGTGGCATGAATCCGAACAGTTATGCAGACAGGTGAGTTTGGGGCAGAGTGGCATAATGGATGAAGGATTTAGCTGGATGATAATCCAGGTCTGTGTCTTGTAGATGAACTGAGAGAGAAAAGCAGGCTGTTGGCGGATGATGGGAGGCGATGGATGACAGGAGACAGAGTTTGGGTAAGGAATCCTTGAAGCAGGTAAGTACAGGTAGCTATCATGGTTGAGTTTGTCTGCGTTCGTAGGGACAAGACCAGACAAGGGAGTGAAAGAGAAGAGAGTAGAATGTGCGCTGATGATGATGTGTAGGTGCAGGGAATCAGGATTTTGGGGAGAGTGAACGTCAGCGTTCTATCAGCATTTACTCCCATTCATGTCATTCCAGACTTGTACGACTTTATATCTGCTGTGGAACAGAAAAAAAATATATTTTGAATACATATTCAATGAATATATGTCCATACAATAAAAGATTATGGCGCCCACCCAGTGTTATTCAGTTTCAAATGGACTCTTCAAAATGTCAAGAAATAAAACTATAGGTTGGGGTCGACATAAGAGTGAATAAATGATACAATAATATATTTGAAATGATTTTTTTTACATTGATAATTAATTAATTGATAATTCTAAATGGTGTAATTTTATACATATGTGAAATGTGTTTCATTTGATGTTTTTGCCTTTAAATACCTTCAGCTATATAAAGTATTATGCCATTATGTGAGGAAAGGCTTAATATTTTAGATATATCACATCATCCTTTCAATGATGAAATGTTCTTAATTTGTTTTTCTTGTGTCATAAACTCTTACATTGCACTTGGGAAATCAGAGTAGTGAAACTGTATTTGTGTCATCAAATATGTGATACCAAATAAGATCTCTGTTGCTCCAACCCCCATAGTCTTCCCATTCCCCAGGCTATGACCATAGTGAATGAGAAGTTACAATGTTCCTCCACAGCTGCTGCTGTCATGGCTATTATTAGACTTCCAGTCTGAGCCCCGTCACCAAGCTTCTTTCCTAAGGGCCTCTTGGAAAAAGTGCGGACTTGATGGGGCAGAGACTCAAAAATCTCAAAGCTCAAAACGAGAACGATAACAATAAAAAAGCAGAATCAGGAAACACAAGGAACAAGTACAGGACTGCAAATACAGGGGGACTAAACAGGGAAGCAACCATAAGAGGGTAACGAACAAGGCAGGTGGGGCAAATCAATAAATAATCAGGTAACAAGATGGAAAGGGCTAGACAATTGACAAGAGAGCACATGGCACAAGTAATACCAGACAAGCCATGTGCTGAAAACAAACCAGACTAAACACACACACACATGACAAACCGGAAATGTCAGAGCTCTGTTACCAAACCAGGTATAAATCAAACAGAGGTGACAGAAACCCTGACCCCGCCCCAATGTCTAAACTTTATCCAACGTATTCTCACCCCAAGGCGTCACCTAACTGACAATTTTGACCGCGCTTCAATATTCAACGCTTTAGGCACCCTTTAGCATCAGTTAGATGACGCGATCCTAGGGTGTCATCTAACTGGCGCTAAAGGTAAAGCGTCAGTTAGATGACGCGGTTAGGTTTAGGTCTGGGGTTAGAAGCGATCCTAGGGCGTCATCTAACTGATGCTAAAGGGTGCCTAAAGTGTCAGATAGTGAAGCATGGTTGTGTACTTCGTTTCTGGAGTCCACCACATACCACTTCTACAGAAATATCTCTTCCTATACACAAAACTTTTTAATCTTTCAGAAACCCTCCACCTTCCCCAGCTCCACCTGTATAAATCTTCTATGGGGATTAAATCATGTATGTTACATGTGCAGCAGCAACAGCATGTATTACATGCTCACAGCAATGTCTGTGAATCTTTTGGCAGTAGCAAGTCTCTATTTGCTTTGCAGCAGCATAGCAGATTTAAGAAATACATTCCCATATCCATTACCATGCCAATCTCTCTGAGAGTTGTCATGACAGTCACGCAAAGGGTAGATTTTCTTATCAAAAACAACAACATTATCATTTATCGTATCATGTTTCCACAATGCTTCATCATAAATCTTATCATATTATTTATTCTTGGCACATCATGAGAGTGTAGTATGCTCAGAAAGTTAACTTTAACCTTAAAGTTACAGAAGAATTCATGTACAAAGATGTCAGGTAGGAAGATGGTGTTGTTTAATTAATTCAGACATGACAGTCCTTCACTGTCAAATCCATTTGTTCTAAGAAGATGATATGAAGAGTTCAGATGCAAAAGCCTCTAAATGCCATTTGAAATTTTCTTCTTTAATGATGATTTTTATCAAACTTGTATATTTAAGTTCAGTAATTTCACTTAAATGGCAATGATAATTACCTATTAATTGTTATTTAAGTGAAATCATTGAACTTAAATATACAAGTTTGACAAAAATCATCATTAAAGAAGAAAATTTCAAATGGCATTTAGAGGCTTTTGCATCTGAACTCTTCATATATATAAAATGTAATATAATTTAATATATATTTATATAGCCTATTTTATATATTAATTTCCCAACTTGGGATGTTAGTAGTGTAGTTGGCGGGGAATGTGGAGTCTAAATGCCAGGACATGTGAAACCACGCATGGGTAGGGGTTATGGGGAGTGGTGGGAGTTGCCCAGTAGGTCGTCTTTCAAAAACACCCTTTGGCTGCTCTAGCAACCAACCAAACAGACATACACAGATTCCAACAAGGTGAAATGCCATGTAAAAGGGGGTAAAGGCCGACATGACAAGGGATATTGGGACGCAGTTTGAAAGTAAATTATGCAAGGGACCATTATAGCTGGACTTAATGACTACATTGCATTAGACCTTCACATTTACAATCAGAACAAAACCAAATTCATTTACAAAAAAAAAAAAAAAAAAAAAAAAAATCAAAAGAAAGTTTGTTCAAAATAATTTGGACAGTTTGTAAAGAAAAATTAAACGTATTGTAACAGTCTCGTTTTTTATGTGTAAAGGAATTCTGTGTGTGGTCAAAAATATAATACTGTTGCCTACCTCATTGGGTGAATGAGAATAATACTGTACTGACAATATCTGAACAGTTGGTGGCACCACAGCTCAGATTATTTATTTTCTAAAGCTCAGATTAATCTTTTTTTTTTTTATTAAACATTTACTTACATAGTACAACAGTGAAAGGTTTTGAAAACCACAAACAAGAGCCAGAGGTTCCAGGATTGATACATATTACAGTACATTGGAATTTAAGCTCAGATTAATCAACTGCACATCCTCGTAAAAAAAATGACGTGTTTTGTTGTTACTCACTCAATTGGTTGTAGATTATGATGACGTATAATGATGATGACTGTACATTCGTTTTCATTTATTTTGTTTGACTAGTAATACATTTTTTTTATATAGATTTATGAAACAATATGAACAATTCTTTTAGACTATTGATTAGGGTCAACCAGCTTTTATTCATTGTTTGTAATGATCTCTTGTTAGCATTATTTCACCATGGCAAATGTGTTGTAGCCTACTTAACCATTTATCTTTGTCTTTTATTTTGTATTTATTCTCTTCATGTACATCCTTAATTTTTGCTTTGGTTATCTGATTCTACGGAGGTTTTGTTGAAGCGTCTTGTTCTCCTGGAGGTTTTTGTAGGCTATGTTTTAATCTAGCTATTTCTTGATTATTAGCCTATAATACGAAAAATGAAAGTGTTTTCCACATGGGGGAACATGCTTATAGTATAGGCTAAATGATTTGTCATATTGTAAGCCTAATATAGGACTTTGTGTGTGAAGATCTAAGAAAAACAACAGACAGAAACATTGGTCTGACTGATCCACTCCACCTACTTGCACAAAATATTGTGACTTGAGAACAAATAACGTTTCATGTGAAACATTCAATATGACAGACAATAAAAGAAAACACGTTTCTGTATGCAAATTAAACAATATCAATTGTCATGGATTTGCCTTTTTAGATATCCATTCTTTCATGTGGTAATTTTCTTATTCGCCTCAGTTTGCTTGTAGGAGGAGGAGGAAAACTATAACCAACAGAAGGATTCAGCCATCTTCTGAATCTGCAGTCGCCGAAAATATTGTAAATGCTAAATAACAGACAGCCAGATCATGCCCGCTCTTTAAAGATGTCTGTTGGCCCCCTCGCTCCTTCCTTTTGCATGCAAGACTCTTCACAAATCTCCTGGGCTCCATATGACGTAATTGCGGGTCCCCTCCTCACATCCGTGAAGAAAGATCGTGATTCCTGCTCCAGATCCGCACCACAAATTATATACATTCGTTACTGCCTATGTTTATTACTGCATAAAACGAAAGCCAGTTAATGTGTTTTACCTGACGCGTCCATCACTTATGCTACAAGCGTTTAGCACAAGCCTGCGGCACCAACAGACAAGATGTGGATTTAAATTCTCGACGGAGGGCGATAAAACAACGCGTGCTGACTTCAATGCCGTGGATAGTTAATATGATGCATCCACGAGTACGGAGAGCCCTGTTTTTGATGTCCGTATTCTGCCAGCTTGGAATGGCAGGCAAATACGGTAGGTTATGTCAGCAGATGAGAAAATCTTCGATGATTCATTGTGCAAAGACGTGCATTAGTGTGGTTTTTAAGGCCTATGACAATTACGATGTGGCCACATTTACTTATGTAGCCTACAGTACAACAAATGCTTCTCCCAGGCAGTTTAGTGAGTTATGTGACACGTACTAGACGGTTTATGTGCCATTCATTTAAAACACTTTTGAGAATATTTGCATATTGTGTTTGGTCGTGAGAATATTTGCTTATTGTGTTTGGTCGTGTTTGCCAAGATATTGTGATCACTTCTCCAACTAAAGGTACATCAGATGTATTGTAGGCATTGACTGAACTGAATTCAGCTTCATTGCGCAACTGGTGGAAATGGACAGTAGCCTACAAGGAAGAGCGTTTCAGCACCATGGAGAGGACCAATATTGATATTTGTGTATAGCATCTATCCACTTTATGTTTCATCATAGTTTAATTAGGCTTTAAATCATCCGACTTATATATTTCCCCTCTACCTAAGCATTATTTGGTTGAGAAAACTACTTTTTTATCCTCCATCCCTGCTCTGACCAATAGAAATAACTCTTCTCTGTAACCTTGGCGACACGTCGACGACATTGGACGAGTGACCCATTTGCAAATATTTGTGTAATATATACCGTCATCTACTAAATCTTATACTATATCTTATAGTTTCCAGTTTATAAACATACTTTCGAGTGCACCGTCGTAGTTTGCTTAGTAAACGCCGTTTTTCTTATTGTTGATAAATTAATTCATCCGTGCGTTATTGACATTTATAGAGCTCAAAATACAGCAGGATTCTCACTAGACTTTGCACGTTCTGGTTAAGGCTTTACTTTGAAATACAGGATCAATTATATCGATTAATCTGATTTTTCTCTAGCCTATTCATATGTTACATTAATATATAGAAATTAATTTCATTTAAATTGATATTTGTTGCAGTCTTCGCAAGCATTATTTTTGTCTCGTTCATCCTATCTTCTCTAATTTTCAATGGGCTGGTGTTGATTTTGCAACAGGGTCTTTGTCCATCATTCTTGCGTTTCCCCACACCTTGTTTCATGAGTCTCTGATTGATATTTATTGTTGCCAAGTCCAATCATTATATTATTTGAGTTGTGTTTAAGACCTGAAAGCAGAGGAATATAAATGTATATTAAAGAAAAATGGCAAGTGTTACCTTTGTAAAGATTATAGGGAAAAAATAAAACCTTTTAGAATTAGGTTTAGAGTTGACTTAATGCCACCCAGAAAACACCTCAGACCCCAGAGGGTTAAGCCTGACACTAATGTATACAGACCACTGATTGGAGTATTTTGTGCATTTAAATTGCCTATTATCTTAACAGAATTAATAATGAGTTATAGATTTGCACTGTCTGAGATTAAAATCTGTCCATGGCTGGCCTTGTTCATTTTGTTTTATAAAGGAATTTAGTGCACCTTTTAATCATTAATCCAGTGTGAGTAAAACACGGTCATTTTCACTGATGTGATAAGTAATCATTGGAAAGTGGAAATGAGAGGTTGACATCAGATTATATATTTTTTTTAAATTTCTAAGAGGTTTATCATCTGAGTCCATTTGCTCTATTGGAAAATATCCATAAATATTAAACAAACTTTACACAATTTACACAATCGAATTGTCATCGAGGTAAACTGTAGTGTTTCAAAAATAGCTCTTTAATGAAATTGTACTGAGTAACCTTCACTCTTCATACTGTATGAGCTCATCAGCATTATGAGAGTGAAGTATAATGGTTTGAAGCTAACACACACACACACACACACACAAAAACATATTTTGGTATATATTTCCATTCAGAATGATGTAAAAACACTTCATGCTCTTTAAAATTGTCTAAGTTAGATTTTAGGCCACTTTACTTTATTCTCCGACAGCTTTATCAGTCTGACTCTTTATCTTTGTTTGTCCTGCTCGGTTCCCCTGACAGCAGTGCTGTTGGCCAGCCTTACAATTCACACACACACACACACACACACACACACACACACACACACACACACACACACACACACACACACACACACACACACACACACACACACATATACACACTCATGCATAGTCAGGTCATGCTCACTGGCAGTTATGTTGCCTTTTTATTTGATCAGCTGTGTTCAGCACATGCCCAGAGCTTTCCTCCTCATTCTATCTGCCTACACAGAGCCCTGCATCTTAGGGGAAACAAGCTACTCCAATCATAGGCCATCATGGATGAATGATTCTTGTCATTGATTCATCTTGATTCAATATTGTTTATACGCTTTCGGACTGTGTTTTTAAGCTCTAAAACTTGTGACAGAGTCGGCTTTGACAGGTGTGTTCATAGTCCCATGCAGAGATGAATGTGTTGGTGAAGGAAAGGTTACTTGAATCTTTCATATATCGGCACTGTCAAAAATGCTTTCGATAGATGTCAAAATATAAGGCCTGATTTACTAAAAAGTAAAATTTGTGTGAAATGGCAAATTCCCTAAAAGCACTAAAGGGAGTGGATTATTCTGCTGGTGATTCTGACAAATGCACAAATTAAAGAACACAGAAGCACCACATTTCCATAATGACTAATTAGCGTATAGGGTCGCAAACAAGCAGAGCCGATGAGGTGTGTGACAGTTTAAGTGCAATAACACTTAGTTTTACACTTAGAACACTTAGAACTTAGTTTAATACTCACAGGACACACCATCTGACAATCAGCTTTCTATGCACATGCTTCGATATGTGTTCTCAGAAAACCACATCAGAAGTTTAGAATGTGTCTATTAAAACGAATGCAGATAATAAACGTTCATGCTGATGAAGAACTACAATGGCATGTGAGCATGGGAGATTTTTAGCTTTTGGGAGAGTATCAAAGGCACAAACACAGCATTATGTTCATTCCACTCAAAAATGGGAATTAACAACATGATATAATAAATGATCTGTGGGGTATTTTGAGCTGAAACTTAACAGACATATACTAAGGACACCTGAGACTTATCTTTCTTGTCAAATGATGTATGATTGGTAATGGCGCAAATACCAGTAAAATGACTACCGCAAACTTTAGTAAGGGCTGGTTTACAAAGAATGTTTTTGCTGTTAAAAACACATGATGAAGGTCAGTGGAACTAAAAAAATGTTTTAGAATGTTCAATGCTGCAAAAGAATGTGAGCGGAACAGTTAAAGAGACCCGTCTAGCGCATTTCCATTGAAACACAATGGAAAAGCAATGCAGTGGAATGGAAAAACACGTTCTGTGTCTAAATCACGTTGCATTAGTTATTCAAATAGCCATAAATCACATAAATTTTGCATCTAAAGGGGAAACTCCTATAAATGGTCACGCAATAAGGTCAGCCACATTAAAATAGCTCCACACCTGAATTCGTGTCCACACCTTTTTATCGCTAATTTTTCACTGCAGAGGTTTTTTGTAAATATGGCCCTAAATGTTTTTTTTTTATATTGCTTTTTTATATTTCTTACCTTTCCATCTGTCTTTTTCTCTCTCTTGCATGCAGGCTGCTTGTTTGAGAAGAGGCTGTGCACTAGGGAGCAGTTCTGCTCTGAGGGTGAGTATCACACTTCAGGCACAATAGATACAGTAATTCTCTGAAGTTCGAAAACAAGGACTTGGTGCTATCTTCTGTGTCCTGTCTCTATTTCTTGCTCTTGATGATCTAATCGTGAGATCCGGATCATCGCTTGACAGCACAGATCTGCTACATCCTGTTACGACGCAACAAGAGACACATACACAGCTAAATAATTGACGCAGCAGGGAATTTCACTCATTTTATATTAGTCGACAGTAACCAAGTTGGTGTGTTTTGGAGGAGGATGTTTACTTTATTTGTGTCAGATATGCACATAGATGTCCACTCTGAGATACAATAGGATTCATACGTCTGGGACCACTATAGAAACCTTGTAGTTTGCATTATTACCTAATTTAATAAAATTGTTGGTTGCACTTTATTTTACAGTACGTGTACTTACTGAGTACTATAAGGTAGCTATTGTAGATGGGTTAAGATTAGGTTTAGGGGTAGTAGTTATTACCCAGTTTTTGTAATTTCTATAATAAGTAAATAGTATGTACATTTGGAACTGGACTGTAAAATAAAGTGCTACCCATTTTTTCCATTACAACTGATATAAAAGACATATTTTCATGATTTTTTTCTTTTGTCAAATCAACTTAAATAATTTATTTAGTTCATATAACATAATATTTTGAGCTGGTGATTAAATCAACCTCCTTTATTGTATTAACTCTTAAAAACTTAAAATTTTAAGGCAACCAGGTTACTTCAATTTTCAAGTTAAACCAACAATGTTTTTTTACCGTGTATAACAATTTGAATGAAAGGTTTTATTCATGAATTAAATGAATTTCAGAAGTAGTACACTCCCATAAAGCTGTCACTGGGGCCGTATCCTCTTAAAAGGTACACATTTGTACGTTATTTACCTCTAAAGGCTGCATACAATACATGTACATGAAATTAGTACCTTCTGAAAGGTGTCTCTCTTTTGCATTATTGACAGGAGCACTTGCACAAAATGTTAAACTTAAAAGCATAAAATGAGATACATCTTGTGCTTCATGCAAACAAGAACATCTGTACAAAGGAGTTCCCAAAGTCATTGTCAGAAGTGTGCATTTTTGATTGGAAATAGTGTGTAATCCCAAATATGCAGCAAAAATGTAACAATTAGCTGTTAATTTGCAGAATTCAATTTTTTTGTTAATAATGTGAACTTTTGAACTCCACTGTGTGTAACATTTAGATGGCGTTAGATGAAGTTATCAGTGCTGCTTATTGTGTGTTTTTCACTCTTAAAAATAATAGTTCCTTATTGGCAATGGGGGTTCCATGAAGAATCTATAACATCCACAAAAGCTTTCTATTGCACAAAAGGCCCTTTACAGTGGAATAAAGGCTGTTTATTAAAATCTTCTTCACACTCAAAAAAATAGGTTATTTTAAAAACTCAGAATGGCTCTTCTATTGCATCACTGGAAAAAAAAGAAGCTTTATTTTTAAGACTTTGTATGGGTATACCCATATCGCTTTTTGTGTTTAAATGCAATTCCTGAAAATTTCAACTGGTATCATTCACATATCACATCTGTGATTTTGTACTCCTCTCAGGGATTTACCTGTGTCTGTATTACCACAGCCATAAACCATAGTATTCTGTCACCTGCTCTTCTCTCTCTCCGTCAAGTCCCCCCCACCCCTGCTCCACGTTCCCTTGGTAACGGTGACATCATCAAGCCCATGGAAGCTGGGTGTACGCCCCCACAACCACTGATGACTCACTACCCGGTGCTTACGCACACAATCACGTCTCATACGCACATACGCACACATTATTATATCCACACGGTTACCTGCCAATTCAGTAGAGGTTACACAAATACAAGGAGCTCTTTAAAATGCGTTTCAAAGACTTGTGTTCGCAGTGACGGTTATTTGGGTCTTGGAGACACGATGAAGGCTTCTTTGTTCCCAATCATATAAAAGGATGGAACATAGGTGTATAAATAAACTGTTTTATTTTTCCAGTGAAAAGCTTTTTGCTGCTTGCTGTTTGAAGGTTTTACACTTTCAAACACACATATTGACAGGGCTGGGTAGATTACTTACAAATAATCAGTTACTGATTCTAGGTTACACATTTTATGTAATATAATGTGACTAAGATATTATTTTTGACTAATTATTTATAGACGTATTTTTGACCTAAATCGTTTATCACATTGACTTGAATAATCTTGTACCATATTGATATAAAAATACAAAAAGAAAAAAAACAATACATTCCATTCTTTGTTTTCAACCACAAAATGGGCATTAAATAATACATAATAAAAAAGCTAATAAGTAATTGGATCATAAATGAAAATAAAAAAAAATAAAAACAATCAAAATAAAACGTTTACTAAAAAAGATTTTAAAAATGCATTCATTTACCTGCATGTCATGTGACCATTAACCAACATAAGAGAACCGTGAACTGCATTGCAGTATTATTATTTATTATTGACTTATATTAATGACCTTTAAATAAATATATTATGGCAAAGAGGTTCAGTTGTCAAAAAAAGTTTACGTTTATAATATATGAATTTATGTGAATTTATTTGAATGTGTTTGAAAGACAAAAGCCTTCCATAATACATGGTTAAATGACTCACTGAGTAATAATTCAAATAATAATGAATGTGTTCGTTAAAACCTGATTAGATATGCAGTGTTAAGAAAACACATTTTAAAAGGGAATTAATTCACAGTGTTCAAATGCTGTGTGTCTCAGAGGCACAATGTCCGTCCAGTTCCACAAACCTGGAAGACCTTCTGGATGTATATAAGCTATAGACTTTTAGAGAGGCTCTAGAGATTTTTAGATAAAAAAAAGAACTCTTACATTATATCCGTTCTGTAACCGTACCCTCATCCCACCTCAATAGCAGCAAAAGTGTTTTGCAATACAACACGAATACATACAAGTACATTGCACTTAACATTTTGTTATATGCAAGACAACATAAAGGGAGACCAAAACTCTTTACTGTTTAATTTCTGTGGCAAAATGGGTTTAAACATAACATACTTCAGGTATACGTTAGCAAAATAAAGAGATTCCCAAAACGCTTTCACTTCATAGCTTGTCATTTCATCATAGGAATCTGGTCAAGAAGAGATTCTAACAAACATGTGTATGTTTTATATGTTTATAGCCTAAAAACAAAAGGAAATCCCGCACACTATAAAAACTCAAAGCTCGATCACATTTAAAATGACATCATGACCAATTGTTAACAAACGTGGTGGTAGGAAGGATGAGAAGACGAGGATGAACAGGAAACAGGATTTTAATAAGTAAACTAAACAGGAACCACAACACACGCTATACTATGAGAACAGAAGGAGACTAATACAGATAACAATAAACAATGACGAGGTGAACACAGGTGACATGGATGATTATGACGATAAACAGGTGGGTAATGAGGGAGTGAGTTCAGGTGTGGAGACAATGAGGATTCTGGGAAGTGTAGTGAAGACGAAGACAGGATGGTACAGACGATGACTGTAACACCAATCACTAATCCATCAATTACCAATCACTCTCAATGACTGAATACATCATTAACTACACTCTAAGTAATGTTGGGTTATTTCAACCCAAATTTGGGTAAAATATTGACAAACCCAGTAAATGGGTTAACATTTTAAATGACATTTTTAACCCAAAGTTTGGGTTTGTCCATATTTTACCCAAAATTGGGTTAAAACAACCCAGCATTTTTTATAGTGTACACATCATCAAATACAAAAGTTACTTAAAAATATGTTACATTGTATAACGGGGAAACAAATCTAGCTATAACATCATATTAAATAAAGCTTCATCATTCAGCCCCAATGTTGCCTCAAAATCTATTTATGTGGGTTGGTCTATTCTAAACCAATGTTCTGTATTGTCAGCAAAAGTGTGAAATAAAAATGCAGCAACCTTTAAAAAGTGTATGTTATGAAGAAATATGTATTAAATTAACATTAGCTAAGATTTATAAATGCTTTAGAAGTGTAAATGTTGCATTAACTAATGATAAACTTATTGAAATGTGTTGAGTACGGTATCATGTCTTTCTTTTACTAAAGCGGCGGTGTGACATCATTTCTCCTGGGTCACTTCTATTGCGATGTAATAATGTACTGTGCATTTCCATGCCTCGGGGCAACTGATCTATCGCCCCCATAGTGCTCTCACATCTCCGTCTGTGCTGGAAATAGCCGTGAGTCATATTCATGGACAGACTCGCTCAGAGATATAGAAAATGGCCGGGTTCATGTTTAGAGCTCATCTGCGTTAAGGGATCAAGGTCTTTTTTTAAACCACACAACTGGAGGTTTAGTCAGGGATGAGTCAGTGGTGTATGTGTGGGATGTGAGTGTATGAAAGTGTGTGTTGAGTGGGTTGAATATGTTATGGGTGTTTGTTAGTCAGGAAACTTGCTCATTTTTCACTTATGGGTTATTTTGTCTGCGACATTTTAATATGCCTCATAGTCGCACTGTATTTTTTTGTATGAGAGTTTAAGATGACGCTTAATTTTTTTCCGACATTGTTTACACAAACATTAGTAACTTTTAAACCTTTTTTTATTGCATTATTTAATCAGAATATTGTGAAAAATATTATTTTAAAAAAAATTTTCTTTTCCAGATTTTCTCTTCAGTGTTCTTAATCTGAATAATTTGTTTGTTTGTTTGTATTGCAGACAAGATCTTTGGACAGTGTCGGAGCTCAAGGCATGATCAGGTTCAATACAAGGTCTCTGTTCCTGTTCTTCAGAGACTGCAGGAAGTGCTTAAAGAGTTAATGATTCAGGGTAAGCACACACACACACACACACACACAAACACAGAGGCAGAGAGAAAATTTATGTACACACACAACTTTTAAGACAAAAAAAGGGGGGGGGGGGGGGTCTCCTCAACCGCCACCAATGTGCAGCATCCAAGGGGGTAATCCATCAGCCGGAAGTTGAAGCCTAACGGGAGCCGCCATTGTAGCAGAACTTCACCTGCTGTTAGCATCCCATTGACTCCCATTCATTTTGGCGTCACTTTGACAGCAAATAACTTTACATCTGAGGCGTCCAAAGACTTAATTTGTCCATTATTAATCTCTACAGATACATGACAATGTAAAAAACGCTCCATTCTTTTTTATTTGGTACTTACAACCAACCACTTCCGAATTTTCAAGTATTTAACACTTTATTGCTTTTCTGAATCCTTATTTTATCTATTACTAGAATAGGCAGCTTGTCACCTGTCATCAAGTGAATACACTAACGATTCACACTAACGTGCACCTGTGATAGCACTTGTGTCTGTAATGAAATGTGTGTTTGTGTGCATGTGGACAGGATTCTCCTGGCAGGATGAAATCACCCAGCACATCATTGCTAAGGAGCTGAGCCGTATTCCTCACACACGCTCCCAAAAGAACCAGAATGCACAGTGAGTACCTGAAAAAAATATGACTTTTAGTTTAAAGGAATAGTATCGTTTACTCATCAATCATGTCATTCCAAAACCTGTATGACATTTCTTCAGTGCATTTTTTTTTTCTTCCTGGTCATTTTTTTTTCTGTGCTATTGTTAATGGATTTTGGAGCTCAAAATAACCATGAAAGTATCATGAAAGTGCACTGTATTCTAAGTTTTATTTTAATTCATACCAGAGTTTTGTGAAAATTGAATTGTTATTCACTTCCCTCCAATGAGCTGGCAAATGAATATTGAGTCAAGATGAACCTAAGGACCAGATCTGTCTGATTCTTTAATTAATTTTTCACACCGTGTTTTAAACCTTATCAATCAATGTGTTTCAACAGAATATTTTATTCCCTCATGAATGTTCAAAGTAGAGCTTGCTTGGTCAAGACTTTCTTTTTAAAGATTTCTTTTTGGTGTTTTTGCATTCATTGAGAGAAACTCAAATTCGAAGGCTTCAGTTCCAACAGATATGAAGAGCTGTGTTTGAAATCGCCCCCATACCCTTATTCACTATTCCCTATATTTTTCCACTAATATTATCCACTTGAAGGACTGAATGAAAAAGAGTGAGTGAATTCGGACACTGAGTGCACTGGAAGGGCGGCTGCTTGTACTTGCTGTTGTTTAATAATAAGGCGACCATTTGAGCTTATAAAACGTAATTTTTTTTTTTTTTAAATGATTGATCGTTTCACTTGATAAAACCCTTATTCATCGTCTGAAATCGTTTAAAGCCCTTTGAACAGTTTGCACTGAAACTGTCTTTTGGACCTTGAACCGTTTGGTTCCCATTAAAGTCCATTATGTGGAGACAAATCCTGGAATGTTTTCTTCAAAAACCTTCATTTCTTTTCAACTGAAGAAAGAATGACATGGATATCTTGGATGAATAAATTATCAGCAAAAGTTTTTTTAAAACGTGAACTACTCCTTTAAATAGGGGCGATTTCGGACACAGCAAAGATTTTCAATACATTTTACTTATTACTGAAATATTGTTATGTTTCTCAGACAAAAGACTTTCATACTGCAGATGTGTATGGTATAATCCCTAAATTATCCCTAATGCTTTTGCATCCTTTTTGAGGCTTGGAAAGTCCAATCTATTGTGAAAAAAGCATTCTTCAGAATATCTCCTTCTGTGTTACACAGAAGAGAAATCAAATTTTATTTTCTAACTATTCCTTTGAGTGTCTCCGGTAAAACCTGATTTCAAAGGTCTTGTCGGAACTCAGATGTTTGATCTCTGGCATTAGATTTAATGCAACTGATTATATTTTTCAGGCCGCCACAGCCTGCAGCTAAGAAGGTCTTTTCTAGCTCGAACTCTGAGCCTGGTCCAGCTCAGAGCTACATGGATTACATGGTCTTAGACCCCCACCAGTCCTCCTCGCTCCGGATGCAAGCCCTACCAATGGACCCGTACTCATACCTACAAGTAAATCTGGCATAGAAGTAGCACAGAAAGGGGGAGAAAAAAATGCTATTTAGACTCATTTTCTCATTGTTCTCTAACAGGAGGACATGACGCATTCATTCCATCCTCACAGCAGCATGGGATACCAGCGACCACCCTCTCGAACAGGATCCCAGCAAAAAGACAGAGACCGTCAGCTCCTGGAAGATGCAGTGTCTCGCTACCTCTCCTCCGCACAACCCCCGTTCCGTCACAGGGGGGCAGCAGCCCTCCCTGCCGCTCCATACTATGAGGATCTAGATTTCCCTTTGGAATATGGAGAGGACTACACCCTACAGGAACAGCCCAGCTCAACCCAGCGTACCAACAAGAAACCCCCTCAGGACTACAGTTCTCTTGCCGGAATTGATGGTGAGTAGAGAACCTTTTTTGGGATGCTATAAATGTTAAGATGTGGTCATAGTAATCAATTCAGTATTAAAATCTGCATGTGCCATTTTTGCTTTAGTTTTAGATTGGAGTAAATTCATATTATGGAGCTGTTTATTGTATCTTGCATATGTATTTTGAACTTGTTGGCTCACAGATATCCTTTCCTAAATTTAACAATACAAATATGTTTTTGTGAAACTCAAGTATGGGATTCCTGTATCTAAAATAGAGCTCTTAGAAGCTCGTATAACACCAGCGTCATGGTGTAAATCCCAGGAAATGCAGTACTGTAATTTTTGATGTCAGTGGTTGCTGGGAGGGATTGCAGAGTTAGTATTTCATTGCATGGTGCAACAAAATGTCACCTGGATATATGAAAATGAACTCTTGAGTGTTGAATCTTGAACTTTGTGTTACAGATGATAAAGTGGCGCAGTTGGCAAGTCTTTTAAAGGGTCTTGGGGTGGACCCACGAGACCTGAGCCCTCAGCAGATAAAAAGACTTACTCTAGTGTTACAGCTGCTTCAAAACATGGAGAACACAGGTATAAAGTCGCATCACAACACAAACAAATGTACTTATGGCATGCATGCAAATGCATTCATATAGGAGGAAGTCACTGCAGCTGGTCTTATTGTCATGCATGTCAAGTTTGTTATTTTAATTTCATTTAGATTACTTGAGGGGAAAAAACACTGTGTGATGTTTTTTCTCTTATCTTTCATTTCCTCAGATCAATCTCCAGGGACAGTCTCTGTAAAAGAGGTAGGTGCATCTAATGATTCATCTAAACGCTAAAAGAAACTATTAAAACTTTCACCTGGATTCGTTTTTTAACAACTCTTTTAACACGCAGTTGAATGAGTCACCTAATTATTTAAATAGCACTGCCACTTATCATAAAGCTTGAAAAGTTACATGAACTAACAATGAGCAATACATTTGTTACTGTGTTATATAATATAATAGAAAAATACAACTGTTCTTTGTTTGTTCATGTTGCTTCACTGCAGTGCATTAGCTAATGTTAACAAATGCAACTTTTGATTTTAATCATGTATTTGTAAATGTTGAAATTAATAACCAAGAGTAATAAATGGTGTAGAAGTAATGTTCATTCTTAGTTCATGTTAAAGCTACACTGTGTGATTTTTACACCCATCTAGTATAGCGGTGAAAAGGTATATGATCATCCAGTAAATATTAGTTTCTGTTCCTCTCAATTCCGATTTCGTTTTAACTCCTTCGGTGGCCAATGTAGTCCAAGATTAACATGGCTTCCAGTTCGATCTCGTCCATGAGTGTTAACTCAAACGTAAACGCGAAAGACGACGCGAAGCTTGAATTAACGCGTATGTCCCTCTTTGGCTAATGTACTTTCAAGATGGAGGGGCAACATGGCGGCCGACATTAGAACCCCTTACCCGTATGTATTTTCAATGGCATATTATACAATCACGAGAATACGTTATTATTTGAACGAAGTAAATATACATTAATGAGCACATATATTTTTGAAAGAACTAAGTGTTTTTAGCTAAGAATAAACTAAAAAAGTTACACAGTGTAGCTTTAACTAAGGCAGTTAACTAATGTACTTATTGTAAAGTGTTACAGAAAGGGTAATTAATTAGCTGTACATTGCATTTTCAGGTTTAAAAAATCTATGCAGGATAATTTGTAGTATGTCTGAAGTAAGTTTTTTTTTTTTTCCAACATGTAACAGTTTGTGTTTTCCTCGACAGACACTTGTAGAAGGCAGTGAAAAAGTGTCACAAAAAGGAGCCAAACCCCCCTCACCTGTTTCAGCTCTGCCCTCCACCCCACCCCCCCAGCGGACCCCTACTCGGCCCGCATCCACACCAGCCCCTGCCACTGTGCCCAAGGAAGACAGTGTGGGACCCACCCTTTCAGCAAAAGACGTGGATTTAAAAGAGAAAACTGCCAACATCCTGAAAACCGCTAAGGATGGGACAAACACCCGAGAGGAATATGGATACATCGTCACTAACCAGAGGTAGGAGTCACAGTCAACCATAAACTTTTTATGGTTATGTACCATTCATTCAGCTAAAAATGACTGTGATGTAGAAGTCGTTTGTAGACACAGTAATCCATGCTTCAATAAAAGTGAAGCATCTTCGAAAATTTTACATTTTTTAGATATTATACATATTTATTAATTTCAGTTTGTTGTCTATACATATATTTTTTTCTTATTTCTAAAATATTTAATCAGGAAATTACTCTTTGTGAGCCGAATTTGTATAAAATCGATTATATTATTTATGAAAAAAAATATTATTTTATGTAAAATAATTTATGTAATTATGACGGGAAAAGCATGAGCAGTTTTTACAGAAATGTGTGGCAAGATATATGGATTTTTTTTTTAATTCTTTGTCAAATAAATTTAAGGTGACCACATCAAATCACATAGCATTCTAAATTTTTATTTTAGAGATAGAAATATAGAAAGTCGATTTTTAATGTATTTCTGTTCATATGACTGAATATTCCTTGAAATGTGTTTAATTTATTTGTCAAATATTTAAACAAGTGTATTATATGTCTTCCTGTGGTTTCCCTCCAGTCATTTAAGTCTGTATGATGGTGTGAAACTCTTAGAGACCTTGGCAGAGAGAATCCATCTCTCCACGAGCAGTTTCATCAACATCAGGTAAAGTGTGTGTGTGTGTCTGTGTTTGCATTGCTGGATGGAGAGACTAACACATTGATTAATTAAGGGTGATAATAAAAGAAAACATTTGGCCATTTGTCTCTGTTCTTGTGTGCAGCGTGGTTGGTTCTGCCCTGACGTTCAGGATCCGACAGAACTCTCTAAATCTCAGCGCAGAGGATGTGGCCAATAAAGCCGGTGAGTGACAAGCCTTCTCGTTTGGACCGTTAAATTTACATCCAGCTGGCTGGGGAAAGGGAGAGAGAGAGAGAGAGAGAGAGAGAGAGAGAGAGAGAGAGAGAGAGAGAGAGAGAGGGGATTTGAAACTGAAAAAAGAATGAGCAGGCACTTATTGATTAATTCACACATTCACAAACAGGTTTTGTCTTTATATTGCAGTAGCCGAGAAGAAGTTCCTCGAGGGTGAGACAGGTTTGAAAATCATCCAGACTGGAGTGGGAGAGGTAAGAATGTTCACCAACCACAAACCGGAAAAAAGGAAAGGAAAAACACTTTCACTGTGATCAGCGGGTCTATTGATTAGGGATTATGGGAACCGGTTGGTACAATGCGGCATTCTCTCTTGTCACACAGGTTTTTATTCTCTTCATAACCGTCCTCATCAAGCAAACAGGCAACATTCTCATTGAAATTCATAGATTGTACAGTTTTGTCCATCTATTATGTACAGATCACGTACCGAGATGTAACTCTCAGTTCTCATGAATCACTTTGGCGTTTAATACTGAACCGAACAAGGAGGGCATTTGAAATGAAATGTTTTTGAAATCGTCACCGTTCATCTCGAACCGTCCCCACTGTACCGTTCACCCGTCTGCGTTTTTCCCTGCTGTGCCTCATTTCTCTCCCTCACTCATTCTTTCTCTTCTTGTCCCATGCCATTCTCCCCTCTGCCATTCTCTTTTTGTTACCTCTGCCTTTGACCCCTCCCCGTTTCTTTCTCCCTCGCTCCCCCAATTTCTTGGGTGGCTTTTGTGCTTGGTGCATATTGAGGCGTTCTGCTCTCCCTCGTTCGCTCCCCTTTCACTTTGTACAGCTGTTGCAGGCCCTTGAATGCAGAATAATGTCTTTTGTTGCATCCGGCTGCTCATATTTTTAATTATTCTTTCTTATTCTATTGTGGGCTGTGACACTTTCTTTGCTCTGAAGTGCACGGTGTATGAGTGTGTGTGTGTGTGTGTGTGTGTGTGTGTGCACTCTCCCTGTCCTTTATCTTATAATGTTCTCTCCCTCTGCCTCAGTAATGAGACCTGCTTGCACCTGACTGTTTTTTGTCCGCCTTTTAATGGGGATAGATGCTTTTCTGCTTAGACTGTTTAGTCTCTCTGTGCTTCTTTCTTTCTTTAGTCTCTTTCTTAACTTCTATTTTCTTCTTTAATGAATGAACGTTTTTGCGTCCCATGTTGACATACAATCCCCAAATTTTGGGACTCCCACTGAGATTGCCTTGAAATTTTATTAATGACAAATTTTGTTTGTACCCTAGAACATTTACATTTACTGAACGTCACATCCTGAAAATCCTTTTTGTAAGCTTAAACCGACTAAAATATCCAAACTAAAACATATGTATTAGTCCATTCTTAGGCTATATAAATAGAACCATAATATAACCTTTTAGTGGTTCCCTTCATGGGACCATTTTATGGATTCAGATTCAATTTATGATTTTTTTTTTTTAATTAAACAGCTCATAAACATACTTTATTTCTACATAAAATTTAAATAACCCATTAAACATGAAAGTATTATGCAATCATTTTAGTCATTTCTCCTTATATAGAACATTTTCTATATAGAACCCCATTGAAGAGTGTATCAATCGTAGCACTTATTATTCTATAAATCATTGACCCAAATTGTCCCCAGCTTATTCCAGATGTGAAGGCTCAGTATTTGTTTCCTTTCCAAAGCATATTACTTACGAACCCCCTTTTGGGCCCATGGCACTTTCCTTACACCCCATTCGTTGTACCCCCCTTCTGCTCCTGTTGCGTTCAGCCCATTTTCCCCCCTCCTCTCTCTCTCTCTCTCTCTCTCTCTCTCTCTGTCTCTCTCTCACGGACAACCTATCCAGGGCATCAGAACCTCCCCCACCCCACCATTTCACCATCAGCAACATGTGGAGCTGTCGCTACGGCAACGACGTTTGATGTGACAAGTGGCGGCATTGGTTGAATGGGGCTGAGAGGCAGCGAGGCCTTCATATGAGTCGGACACAGCTTTCGGGGAGGCACATTCTCTCTTCCCCTCCCTTTTCTTGTCCTTCCCATTTATTTTCACTCATTTACCTTTTCGCTCCGGCACTACATGTATGCCACTCTTTTCCTCCGTTTTGGTTTCTCACTTCAACCACCGGCTACTTTGAAGTGCTTGCTTGATGCGTTGCTTAAGTTGTTCGACCGGGGATGCGTGGACTTTGAGTATGGTTGAAAATGTGAGATTGAAGACGGCCCGGCTCGTGGTGTTGTGGCGCGTGTGATGTGAAGAGGTATACGAGATGTGTGCGGGTGAGTTCTGTTCTATACCACATCTATTGAGGCTGCTGGCCTTTATTTAGTTTTTAAATGCTGATATGCTTAATTATATATGCTGATGTTTATCTGATGGTTGTTTTTGTCACTATTATATATTTTCCTTATGAATACTTGTATGCATAAAAAGACATAGGCTACTTAACTCTTTATTAGTCAATCAACGTACTGATGCCATTAATCGTGCGCCCTGATTTAATTTAGTCAACATTTTTTTAAAAAAATAATTCAAATAAAATAAAAATATTTCATAAACACTTTTTCAGAACATTTTTCTCTTTTGTTTAAAGAAAAGTGAAAATTTCACATTGCAAGACATTTAATCATTTGTTTTGTTTTGAAAAGATCACAGCCGAAAAATATTGTTGAACTTAACATTTTTCTATTTGCACACCCATACACACCTTGAATTATAAAATCAGTTACAAACTGCGACACAGTTGTGAATAATGCTGTATTTGCTTTTCCAACAAAGTGGAAGTCAATGTTTTGCACTATATATTGTAGGCTTTATCAGTTCTTTAAATGTACATAAAACAAATGTACCATGACCACTCAAACTTTTACTTTCACTCATACTGTTACTAAACAGCACCAGACTAAACTTGTAAAAAGGTATTGATATATTTTTTTCTCCCTCCAGTTTTACAGGGGTCAAAATGATACATTTTAATTGTATACATATATAATATTTTTCAAATCGTGAATTGTGATTAATCGCTTGTAACATACACGTTTGTAAATATATAATATGTGTGTGTGTCACTCACTCACTCACTCACTCACTCACTCACACACACACACACACACACACGAATGATTTGACACCAATACTATACACTTTTTGCAATACAAATATTTAAACAGAAATTTGCCTCCATATTGTATTATCATATCTTACCATAATAACAGAACTCAAAATAGTTTATCTTTAAATTAGTCTTTTACTCATTGGTAATATTTGAAAAATTATAAGATTTCAGATCTCTAAACATGTATACTAAAATAACAATTAATCACATGTGTTTGGTTACAGTTCACATCTTCACTATTATGCACGAATGTGTGTGATGGAACATTTTTGTTAAACCCTGTTTTTAAGAATTGTCTTGAATAGTGATGTCAGGTGGACTGGTTGCTGTGGTAACAGGGCAGAGCAGGCTGGATGAGTGAGATGATGTAATCCATTTGTAGTCATTGCAGGTGCATCTAAGTTCATACTATTTCTCAAGGTTTAATGTGCTAATTATAAGAATGTATTATTGTAAGGTCGCAAAATAAGTTTTATCGCATCCCATCGTTTTTATAGTCAAAATAGCCCCAAAATCGAAACTTTCTTTTCATTATTTTCTAGTTTCGACCTAGATAGTGTTAAATCAAATGAATGATTATGTTACACTCCGTGCTATTACATATATTGTTTATAAAAAAAACTGCAAGGGATCATTCATTATAAACTCTCTGAAGGTTTCTTTTTAGGAAACATAATGAAAACTGCACACCTTCTGCTGTGCAATATTAAGGCTGAGAGAGACGACGGCTGTGATGAGAATTCTGACGAGTCATAGTCTGAGCGCGTCTATCAGATAAGATGAGTCCTGCTGAATTGTGAAATCAATTGACAAGGAGTGAATGGAGCAGAAGACACATAATGGGACAGACAGACGAAATCTGATGAAATCTTACATCACCAAGAGTCTCGGCGCTTTATTTCTCACTCGGACATCTCGGCCGTGCCCGAACTGCCTATTGTGATTCAGAGTGCGAAGCTTTCGGTGATCTTTGCCCCCGAGATCTTCCAAAAACAAACAAGCACACACACACACACACACAGCCATATGTGTGTGTGTGTGTATGTATGTTTGTGTGTGTGTGTGTGTATCTTCTTTTTTTGTGGCTGAGGTCAAAGGGCGCGGTAGATGTCAGAGGGGTCATGGGGGAACCGAGGAGGGGGTCCTGGGACCCTGAATCTTATTTTCCCGCTTCTTGATGAACAGATGTTTGAATTATGCTTCTCGGCTAGCAGCTTATTGTGATTCAAATGCACTTTTGTATTCGTGGCGACTTGTTCGTGTGTGTGTGTGTGTGGAGTACGTGTTGAATCTTTCTTTACGTAAATATGACCTCACTTGTTCGGTTATTCCTCACGTATCACCGTTTTCACCCCTCCTGCGCGAGAGTTTTACACTCTCGTTCCCTGTAACCATGCTTTCTCTCCTTGAGATCAGTTGCCTTCTTTCCCGCTTTCTCTCTGCCTCCTCATTTCTCTGCCTGCTCCGCTCAGACCTTGGGGGGCCTTTGTCCTCTTGTCCTAAACCAGCTCATTTTTCCTGCCTGCTCCCGTGCTCCATTCTAAAAGCCTGTCAGTCTTCCTTTCGGGGGCCTCTCTGGAGTAGCAGGTGAGGCGCCCCACACCCCTTATCTCCTCCTCCATTGTCCTTCCGTCCAGTCGCGCACCCTTGCTTCAACACCACCACCCCCTCCCTCCTTCAATCTCTTCTCCGGAACATTCTTCCAGCTTTTCAGGAGAAAAGGCCGAATTCGAGTGGGAACAAGAGGGATAGAATGAAACGTGCGAGGAAAAGAGAAGGAGAAAGAGAGGGAGAGTGGGTGTGAGGAGGACATGGAGCGAGGGGGGGAAATAGTTGATGAATTTCGAGAAAGGACAGAAAAGAGGGGAAGGCGTCCTAACCTCTTTGTGGTCAGACTTAAGTGCTTATTCACTCAATCTTTTTCTTTTGCTAGCTCAGCTCTAACGGCTGCAGAGCCCGTTTTGAAGGCCTGAAGGTCTGTTCCACTTTCTCAGAACAGCCAGTGGGTGTCTGTGTGAAAATTATAGCCGTGTAAGAATAGATTGTTGAAAGTTCCTGTTGCATTTTTTTTCTGTTTTGTTCTTATTGTACACTCTTTGATCATCTTTGGTTGATGTGAGAGGCATATAGTTTAAACAAATGGAGGAATTAAGTAACTGTTCTTTTTGCCATAATCCCCTTTTCTTTTTCAGAATTATTTCCATGCCAAATAATAATTGATATGCTGGATGAAAGTAATATTAATTTTAGACTTTTTAAGTTATACAATTAAATGAATCAATCATACATTTAGTTGAGTTGTGTGATTGTGTATTTTTAGTCATCTTAGTCTTAAAAAAAGCTCTGGTTTAGTTTAGTTTAGTTAAGTATAAATATAATTATTAATGACATAATGTAAGCATACATTTACTTAAGCAAGTACAGTTGTGTGAACACTTTATGTAGTTACACCTTATTTAAAGATAACATAGTTACATTGTACTTACTCAAACAAGTACTGAGTAATATTAATTAACTACATGTACTTAGAGTTATGGTTAGGGTTTGGTTAGTCTCGCGTAGCCAGACCTTCAGACTGACGGCTGAAGGTCTGGAATTCATAGCAGCTTTCTTTGGCCAAGGCCCGCCCATAAGGCCGTTTGACCGACATGTCAAACAACCAATTACAGTTCGTTTCATTCAGCGTCACGTTTCGGGGCATGGAAATGTCCCCACAACAACAGACCGGCGTGCAACAAATCAGTCAGCACAGCAGCAGTCACCGGAGGCGCTCGTTAACAACGCTCCACGTTATTAAATTCACCCACGAACTCGCGCTCATGTCCATCGTATGCCCGCTTTGTCACACGGCCAGTTCAACCTCGTATAAATCAGGTTATGTGTGTAAATCACGTGCGCTTACTCTTAACAGACACACTCTTTCCCCGGCGCTGCTCGTGCGTCAGTTATGTTCATAAAGCGCTCCCCGTTCACAGTAACCGGCTCGTCTCATTCAAAACAGCCAGCTGTAACGTTAGCTGTCAGCGAGCCGCCGCACATTGAATACTCGCATGAGTCAGGCTGCGAATGTAAGTTACGTCCCCGCCCCAGCGCGCTCACGCTTACTAAATAAACGCCTCACCTCCGGCGCCGCGCAGTCGCTACATTCCCTTTAGCCTTTAGTTTAGCACATCTAGTGGATGCATAACGCAAACCCAGTCAAACGTTTGACTCTGCAGTATCTTATGGGCCTTATAATCCAGTGTGCGCCCTATATATGAATACTGAATCGGCCACTGAGATGTCAGCGTCTGTTGTTTCATGTTTGCCCACAAACGCGGCTGATATCCCCTTCGCAATTAAGTACTTCACTTGATCTTCCATAATAGATAGGAGGGGACATACAACTACGTTTAGCTGATCTTGATTAATGCTCATTGTCACTCATATAAACACAACAGTTTTTCTTCCGCAATCACACGTCTGCGCTTTGTTTCCCGGCGGACCGAAAATAAACGCGACACTGACGCCCCCCGGAAATCCGATAAAATTCAACCAATCAGATGACGACTTCGACATTCCTGAAGTGTTTCCAGTTAAGTGTACCATATGCATCAGACGTTTAGCCAACGTTCCGTGGGCGTGACGTCTGAGGCTGAGACTAGGGTTTGGTTTAGGGTTAGTTACTTGTAATTATGCATAATTTACTCTTATTATTATAGTAAGTACAGTACATGTAGGAACGTGTAACTGTCATCTTAAAATAAAATGTTATCCTTTATTTTAGTGTCCTTGTTACATGTACTTACCATGCATAACAATACATTATGCATAAGTACATGCAACTAACCCTAAACCAAATCCTAACCTTCCACTAAGTACATGTAGTTAATTAATTTTATGCAGTACTTAAATGTATCTGTAACAAGGATACATTGAAATAAAGTGCAATCAAGTATTTTTAGTAATTAATAGTCATACAGAAGCTTTAGTTTATTTTAGTACAGAGAATATTCTCTATTTATTTGAGTAATTTTGGTAAAATATTATTTGTCGTTTACTTATGTACTGTAGCTTAGGTTTCCCAATACTTCCACACAGGGCCTAAAAGTAACTTTGCTACACCTGCCAATAGCCGGTGACCTAATAAAATGTACTGGCCATAAATATTTTTTCCGGGCACAAAACTGTTCTTGCAAAAGCAGGCAATAATGACACCAAAATTTTAGATAGCAGTGAATATTGATAATCCTCTATTCCAATTCTGATACCACAGCTGAAAATACTAGCCTAACTAATATAATTTAAAACATTATCAAATAAACAGTCAGTAATAAAATAAGAACAACTTATCAAATTACAAGCAAAAGCAAATGAATACAATTTAACAACAATACAAATGAAATAAACAGTGCTTTTTGTGTTTTTCCTGGTGGTACTGTTGTCTTCAGGTACAGAAATGTAATAAATCAAGCAAATGTAAAATAACACTGCATATTCTTCACTGTATAAATGAAACTTATTATTTAAACCGTATTAAAGTAACTTAAGTTATTCAGTCAAGAGCAGTGAGTGATTTTATTTCTTTGTCCTTTGTTGTTTGATTAACATTAAAAACATAGACGTCAGCAGGAAAATTAGGCTGCTGTCACTTTAAGAGCAATTGCACGGATCTAAAATACTGAAACTTTAGACATAACCGACTATGTCTACTAGGATATGTTGGATCGCTATTTATTGATATAATTTTGAGGGAATTTGTCCACGCAAATGCTCGAAAATGTACATTTTAACGTAATTGTTCATTTTAAACATACCAAAGAAACATAATAAAACACCTAAAGGTGATAATTGAAACGGACATGGATCTCATTTCCTCTCGTCTCTCATTTCCTCTGCTCACCGTGATGGCCATGAATTACATTGAGCATTCTGCTGTTGCCATGGTAGCGCTACGGCCTGTTCTCCCCTGCTGAGGCTCCCAGACACCATGGCAACACCAACAGGCAGGGGTTGGAGACACGGGGGCAGAGGGGCTGCATGACATCAGCAATCATTGCGTCCCTTCGTTTTCTTGTTCTCTGGATGTGCTATAAGTATGATTTTTTCATAACGGGTAAGAAAGAGAGAGACGGAGAGAGAGAGATCAAATAAAAATAAAGGAGAGCATGAAAGAGATCCCCTCAGAGTGAATGACCCCTCCATTGTGTGGGGGATTTCCTTAATTGTTTACTTGCTGGTAATTATTCAGTGGGGCGGGCGGGTCAGTGACTTTGTCTAATTATTTCAGGGTGGCACGTGGCTGTGCGCGTGTGCCTGGGTTGCCAGGGTAATTAGTAGTCGATGATGACATCCGACTTGTTTACACAAACAGAGAGAGAGACAAAAGAGGGGACGAGAGACACTGTTTTGTGCCAGAGAAGGCACACGAACGCTGAACCTTCCTCACTTGCTCCTTGTGACGTCTGAAATGCTTTTATTTCTCATTTTTCTGTGCCATCGCCCTCTTTGCATTATGCTATCTCACGTTTGTTTATTTTTCTCTCCCTCGTCATAGAGGAGCGAGGGGCGTGGCTTGCCCCAGGCCACACGGATAGGGGAGGGGTCACGTGGTGTCATCCTTACAATGGTGGCCATGGCGTGTGTGGGTACGGTGCTGATAGTCGCCCTGGCGGTCGCCTGTCTCCGTCACCACGCCCGTCAGTTAGCCTCTGGCAAATTGGGTCTGGGACCAGAAGCTGGTGTGGAAACCCACTTTGATTACCAGGTAGCCCACACTGTTAAACACACACACGCTTAAACACAAATGCAAATGCTTCTGAGAAGGATTTTAAAATAAAAACAGTAATATTGTCTTCAATTTGAATATATTTTAAAATGTAAATTTATGATGTCAAAGCTGAATTTTCCGCATCGTTCCTCAAGTCTTCAGTGTCACATGATCCTTCAGAAATCCTTATAATACTGATTTGATACTCAAACATTTCTTATTATTATCAATGTTGAAAACAGTTTTGCTGCTTAATATTTTTTTGTGATATCAAATGATGATATTAAACATTTTGATACTATTGAAATGTCATGATTCCTTTCAATATCACTAAAAAGTGATACTAGTCTAAGTAAAAAAGAAGACAAGACAAGACTAAAGACAAGTTAGCATTAGTAAAATAAGAACAAACAAATGAATTGCAAGTACATATAAGAAAATAAACTACAATAGAACAAGACGCAACTGAAATAGACCATACCTCAAAAAATCCAAGCTTTAGAAATACTACATAAATTATCTAAATTAATGAAGTGTATAAAAAAACTCTGCATAGTCTTCACTGTGTAAATTAAATATACACTTATTCTTATTAAAGTTACAGAAGTGATTCAGTGAAAAGCAGCGAGAGATTTTCTCTCTTTTGTAGTTTGATCAACATTAATGACAGACGACATCAGGTGTATTAGGCTGCTGTCACTTTAAGACTGACTGCACGGATCCAGAATACGTTTTCTTTCTCAACTGTTGAAGTTCGCTGAAGACATAAATGACTGTGACCGCATAAGCCCAATTAGGCTGCAAAAAACTCCATATAGCGAACCATATAGCGCAATGAGTTCTCTTTTGCTGCTTACAGCACTTCAATGGTGTAAAATCAGCCTAACCACGATAGAAACGAAATCTCTACCAATTCACAAATTTCTACCAATTTCTACCAACACCCCATGAAATAGTGTCTACTATATTTTTGCCTCATATCTAGAAGTTTAAAAGATGTCCTTTGGACTATTAAGTGGCATTGTTAGGATGACTAAAGCAAACACTAATCAGGTGTAACTGGCATATCAGCACTGTAATTACATTTAAATTCATTCCACGTTGGCCTAGGCTATTAGAGATATTGGTAATTGTACAGTGATGATTACTGACCTGAAATGTTCATTTGAAATATCAATGCTCAGTCAGTAGTGATAAGGTTTCCCTGCATCTCTCAGGAGCTGTGTCGCCAGCACATGGCAGCCAAGTCATCGTTCACCCGTCCGGAGGCAGGCGGTCGACGGGGGACCGAAACATCACGAGTCAGCAGTGTGTCGTCTCAGTTCAGCGATGGACCGCAGCACAGTCCGAGCTCTCACAGCAGCACACCGTCCTGGAGCGAAGAGCCTGCACAGTCCAACATGGACATCTCCACAGGACACATGATACTGGTACAGAGCCACAAACACACCAACATTATATTTCAGACTTTACTTTTGCTAAGAATCGTACTTGAATTAACAGGAATTATTGCACTACAGCACATATAAGTCAATAGGCTGTAGAGTCTGTGTTTAAACATGCACAAAATTGCAGTCAATTAAAGTTAGTATGAGTACTATTACAGGGTTTCATGTCTTATTTTAGCTATATGGTCAGCTCTGAGGTTTAAGCTGTATCCTGAACTCTTTTATTAATTACATATAATCAAACTAGTCTTTTATAAGCAGACAATGAAATGCTTAAAGTTCATTTGTGGTGTTCAGGCATATATGGAGGACCATCTGAAGAATAAGGACCGTTTGCAGAAAGAGTGGGAGGCTCTGTGTTCGTACCAGGCTGAGCCGAGCTCCGTCTCTATCGCCCAGTGTGAGAGCAACATGGAGAAGAACCGCTATCCTGACTTTGTGCCCTGTAAGAGCTATGTGCCAACATTTATTTCAGTGATCTCATCCATATGCTGTGCACTACCGTTCAAAAGTCAGTGAGATTTATTTTGAAGTAATTGTAGTTTTATTCAGCAAAGGCACATCAAAATGATCTAAAGTGACAGTACATTTAGAATGAGACATTTAGAATGATTTCTGAAGGATCATGTGTGAGTAATGATGCTGAAAATTCAGCTTTGCATCAAAGGAATAAATTATATTTTAAAATATATTCAAATAGAAAACAGTTATTTTAAACTGTAATAATATTTCACAGTATTACTGTTTTTACTGTATCTTTAATCAAATAAATGCAGTCTTGGTGATCATAAGAGACGGTGAGCAAATATGTTAAAATCTTAACCACAATATTTTACACTAGTAGGAAAGGCATCAGATCATATAACTGGAAAATACAAATAAAGGTTTACCAAAATGAGTTTTTATTTTTTATTTTTCAACATTCAGTATGGTTAAAAAAAACCCTCTGTTTTAGATGACCATTCGAGAGTGAAACTAAAGGCAGAGGTCAACCCCTCCAAAGAGGACTACATAAATGCCAGCACTATAGTAAGAAACAAAAAAAATGTATTCCACTAAAGATGTATACATATACTGGATACGTAAATACTGGTAGAAAAACACATTATCTCTACAAAAAAAAAAGGGAAATGTGATCATGTCACAGGAAAGGGTCTTCATTTTTCTGTCTTTACCCACAGATTGATCATGATCCACGTTTACCTGCTTATATCGCAACTCAAGGACCTTTACCACACACTATTGCTGATTTCTGGCAGGTAAGTTACTCATGTTGAGAGTAATGATGACATTTTAAGATTTAGATTGAACAAATATTGGAATATTTTTTAAATATTAAAAATAAAATAAAATATGATTATAAGCTAAAGAATGATCACAAATCTAAATGACTAAATGGCCATAAATTAAGTAATAGAGAAATGGTATTACAATGCATTTCCTATGTAAATTATTCATTGTGTGCTGACACTGTTTTGGTGCATATGTTAGATGGTATGGGAAAATGGCTGTACTGTAATAGTGATGATGACCGCTTTAGTGGAGGATGGAGAAAAACAATGTGAACGTTACTGGCCTGATGAAGGATCGTCTTTATACAACATCTATGAGGTGAGAAACATTAAGATTCACTTCTTTTATGAATCTAATCCTTTTAGTATGTACTATTTTTCCTCCCTATACGTTTCAGGTGAATCTTGTGTCTGAACACATCTGGTGTAAAGACTTCTTGGTTCGTAGTTTCTACTTGAAGAACGTCCAGACTCAAGAGACCCGCACTCTTACCCAGTTTCACTTGCTGAGCTGGCCTGCCCAAGGCATTCCCACCTCCACACGCCCCCTGCTGGACTTCCGCAGGTACTGCCGAAACCAAACCCCTTCCTGCTGATAATAAATGACTCATATTGTGATTGGACTACAAACAGATCACACACGTACTCATCAGGGGCCTCATGTATAAACGTTGCGTACGCACAAAATGGGCATAGAAATCTGCGTACGCATTTTTCCACGTGCACATCGGGATTTATAAAAAATAAACTTGGCGTAAATAAGTGCGCACCGTAAGGATGCTCTTGACCGTGCGTACGCACTCTTTTAGAAGATTATGGGTTTTGGCGACACCGATGGTGAGCTGGAGTCAAATGTCTTTTTGCTTACTATTAGACAGAGAATCTAAAGAAAATTATACATCTACAGAAAGATAATACAAATATAATTTCACAAACCTATCATCACTTGAAGCAAACATCCATCCCTTCTTAAATGACCGCGCCAGCACGCGCGTTGGGCCGTTTGGTGAAACTGACGCACATATAGCCTATAATCTAACGGCAGATGGAGTAAAACCGTAAATCTTCATTATGAGTCCAAATCATAAAGTCCATATTCACAATAATAGTTTAAATAAATAAAAGAATGGTACTATGTTTTACTTCTGATATAAACATTTAGATTAAATATGCCATTCTCATTAATGGAGTTAAACTCTTAAACTACATGAAATCATTACTGAGAAGTTACAATATATATATATATATATATATATATATATATATATTCAATAAATAGAAATAGACCTATTTGTTGTGGATGCATTGCTTTTGAACACTTTTCTTCTGGCATGCTGTGTTTTAATGTTTTAACTAGAGATTGTCTGAGAAAACTGTTTCGTGCAAATAATGCACAACCATGTCTATCTCTTCCATTAAAATCTCTTCCATTATCCATTAAAATATAAATCAATTAAAAATACTATTTGGCCAGTGGAAAAGATTGAGAAAAACTTTCTCTGAAATGTATTTAACACTATTTGATTTATTCATTCAAAAACAAGGCAAGGATATAGGCTACAAAAAAAAAAATATTTGTAATAATGTGACGGCACATCCGCATTTCATATTTTCCTACGTCTTGTACCGTTAAACTTGGTATCACGTGGATGAATAATCATATGCAAATTATATGCAGATGAGGATATGCATAGTAAAACTAGGCGTTGTAATCTCCATATATGGTTATTTCGGGGAGGAGACGCACGTGCGCATAATCTCCCGCTGACTGGGATTTATAAAGTGAATTCTGCGCAGGTTCTGGCGTACGAACGGTTTTATAAATCTGAAAACTTTTGTGCGTACGCAAATTCTGCCTTATGTGCGTACGCACACTTTAAGGATGAAATCTACGCAAAGTTTTATGCATGAGGCCCCAGGTGTTTTCTCAAGGGAGGTAGTAGCTCCTCAAAGATATCACAAAAGATAATAGTGTGAAAATTATTTTCCAAGTAATACTGTCTAATAGCAACATCAGTGTAATAAGGTTTGGACAGAAGGCAGCGTACTTTTTGCCTCCCTTGAGCTTAATATGTTCTCATAGAGAACAAAATGAGAAATTCGCATGGCATCAAGTTTGCAACCAGTCTTAAAATCGATAAATGACGGAAACTGATTGAATAATTACGGAGTAAACAACATCACCAGGTCACATCCGATTCGAATTGATAAGGTTTGATTTTTAGAAAGCACTCAGATAAATGAAAGGCCTTTGTGCCTTTGACCATTTTTACTGACGATTTGTTGAGAACTAATAACAATATCCAAAAAACACCTAGTAACAAATAAATGTACATTGTAACACTTTATAATAAGATCCCATTAGATACATTAACAAACATTAACAATGAGCAATACATTTGCTTAAGTGTGTATTCATCTTTATTGTTAGTTAATAAAAATAACTGTTCATTGTTAGTTCATGTTACCTTAGGTCTACACTATAAAAAAATGATATGACCAAGTTGACAACGTGTCTTTTTACATTGATTTAACTCTAAATAAGTGAAGTTAAGCAATTTTCAACATTAATGTAATTAATGTCAGTTTAATGTAATTTACGTTGAAATCCAAGTTGATTGTACTCAAAAATGTAAGGCATTTTTACAGTGTATTAAAGAATATTAACAGATAAACCTTTTGATTTTATGAATGTATTAGTAAGTGTTTTAAATAACATTAACCGAGACTAATAAATGCTTTAGAAGTGTCTATTATTTCTTGTTATTTAATGTAAACCAATGTTATCCAATGAAACCCTATTGTTAATGCATAAACGTAATGAGTAAATATAATATTATATAGTGTATTTAACATAATATAATTAATATAATATTAAAAAAGAAATTCTTGTTGATAGTGTGAGGTCAAATGTGTTCCAGAAACTGTATTATTCACATCAAATAAACTCACTTTAGACTAACACACACACACACACACACAAACGTTTTTCATCCACATCTGTCTCACTGCAAATACTTCCCCTATAGTATTTTTCCTCACCCTAATGAGGATCTGCTTCACACTTGGGATTCTCTAATTACCTGTGGATGTTTTCTTTACCTTGAAGCCCAGTTCCCCCCAAAGTTCCTCTTCCTTGAATGCATTTGCACTTCGGACCTTCTCCGTTTGTGCTCGACATCCTGCCACGGGCCCCACGTCACCCCCGTCTTTCTCTCCTCCTTCAGTCACTCTCTCTGTCTCTGATGGAGATCGGTAGGTCCCTGGACGTAGCACACCTCCCAGTGTCATTTTTGTGATTTGCAGCTAGTAGTCTGGGTCCAGTTGCATAGTCACAAAAATGATCATTGGTAGGTGTGAGTGCAGCAGGAGTGAGGCTCCATCTCCTCTCTCCCATTTCCTTCCCCAGCATCATGCATCCTTCAATTCCTCTTTGTCGCCAGAATAATGAATCGTAGGGTTTGACAAATTGACAGATATGCTCATTATGACATGCTTTCTCCCTTCTTCTCCCGCAACCTTTCTATTCTTGCATTATACAACTTTTTTCCCTTTTTTTCCCCCTTCAGAAAAGTAAACAAGTGCTACAGAGGACGCTCATGCCCAATCATTGTGCACTGCAGGTAAACGGCTACAATTTGTGTCTCAGGCTCACGATATGGGCTATGAATTTCTTTCATGGAATATGAATGATTTAAATTAAAATGGTTTCCTGTTTCAAACAGCAATGGTACTGGTAGAACCGGCACTTACATTCTTATTGACATGGTACTTAACCGCATGGCGAAAGGTATGAGCATCATTACTCTATCTAGCCGTTTTACTCTAAAGTGTGCCTTGTACCCCATGCTCACAGATTGTTGGTCTGTTTTAGGTGTGAAGGAGATTGACATCGCCGCCACATTGGAGCATATTCGTGACCAGAGACCAAGTATGGTACGCACTAAGGTATGTAAAAAAAAAAAAATGCTTTTTGATGATTTCAGCATGTGATTGTGAATGTTAGAATGGAAGCTTGTTTCAGCGACGCAATTGACAAAAAAAAGTCATTCATAACATAATTCAGACTTTTTTTCTAGCAACTGCGAGTTCATCTCACAATTCAGTCTTGTTCTTGTAATATTGAGTTTACTGTATATCTTGAAATACTTGATTTCTTGCACTTCTGACTTTCTCTTGCAAACTTGCATTTCCGAGTTTCTATCTCAAATCGCAATTCCTAAAACTATTCCTATAACTTGCAGTATTAACTCTCAACTACAAGTTCACATCTTTTAATTCTGACCTTTTCCTGCAATTCCTAGTTTACATCATGCAATTCTAACTATATTTCTCACAATTCTACATCTTATTTTATATCTCACAATTCTGAGTTTATATCTAAGAGTTTATAAATTTGGAAAGTCAGAATTTCAAGATATAAACTCGCAATTTACCTTTTTAATTGTTTACTGTTATTGTGTGTTTACACTGTTTCTTTAGGACCAGTTTGAGTTCGCCCTGACAGCTGTGGCAGAAGAGGTCAATGCCATTCTGAAAGCCCTTCCTCAGTGAGCCACATCCCACTGTGTCCCCATCACATCCTTTTGACTTGTACTCACCTCTTTTCGTGCACCTCACTCACTTTCAAAAGTCGGAAATGTAATATTGTCACACTATAAAAGACTATGAACGCTTTCTGTATGCTGGAAACATTATTTAAAGGGGCCAAATCAGTCCTAATTGAGTTTCAGGGAGAAACAGTGGTTTTAAGAGACATCTGCGTTCCACACAAGCGTAAGACAGTGATTTAAAGTGTCCTAATTTATGAACATTGACAGTATAATGTCTTTTTTATAAATATATATACATATAATGTTTGATGTTGAAAATGTGGAATCTTTACATTTTGTTGTTCTTAAAATGCTTTCTTGATCATGGTATGCCCAAAAATGACGGAAGAACCCACCATGTCTCATGCAGTCAAACATGAGAACGTATATGCAGAGTCATGACTCACGTCTGAACCCAAGAGTGGTTTGTTTCAGTGGAATGTACCTGAAAGGCACTTGTAATATCTTACAGTTCCTGTCAAATCTCTCACAAACATTCAGTGCTTTCACATCCTTAATGTCTAGTGCAGCCTTTATGTCGTGTGATGACCACTGTGAATAATTCACGGAGAGCTCGGTTTGTCTATTCCTGTAGCAAATTATTGAAAATTATCTACAAAAAAAAAAAAAATCAGAGAAATATATGATTATAATTTTTAAATAGTTCTGAATTAAATGTGAATCTGTGTAGCAGCACTGCTCAATGTGTGTGGCTTTTTCTTTCATTATGATCATGCAGACTGAACAATTTATTAATAAAATAAAAATGGCTTTGAATGTAGAAAGATGCTTTTTCCTGTAGACTGTGTAGTTAAGACCAAACCTAAGTCATATAACCAAACCTAGTTATTATTTTGGCACAGGAATTACACTTTTCACCTTTAAATCACACAAACACACAAATGTGTATTCTTGTATGTCTTTTTTACAAGACATTTAAAATGTCTATCTTAAATAAATGCTGTTCATTTTAACTTTCTATTCATTGAAGAAAAAAATAATGTATCCTTGTTTCCACAAAAACACACAGCTGTTTTTCAACGATAATAAGAAATCATCAAATCAACATTTCTGAAGAGCAATGACTTTGAAAATTCAGCTTAGCCATTACATGAATAAATGACATTTAAAATATATTAAGTTATTTTAAATTGTAATATTTCATAACATTGCTGTTTTACTGTATTTTTGATCAAATAAACACAGCCCTGATGAGTCTTCATTCAAAAACATTAAAAAAAATCGTACCGTTCCCAATCACTTGAACAGTAGCGTAAAAAAAACAAACAAAAAAACTACAGAACAATGGGTTATGAAATGCAGATATTTTAATTAATACACAATAAACCTTTCAGAATAAATAATAAACCTTTCATTAGTTATGAAGATTTTGAATTCTCATATATAGCATTTCAAGTGCAACTATACTGTACATTCATTGCAGGTTTGAATCATTCATTATTAAATATGTGAAAGAATAATTTTGTCCTCAAGACGCTTTAATTTGTACACGAGCTCACATATTTCATCAGTGCAGGCCAGGCCATAAATATAATTTATATAAAAGTAATCCAGTACTCCCTCTCCAAGACTCACATTAACACACATACATACTTAGCATGTACATTATTGACCTTTATGTAGCGTTGCCTGGGATTTTTTTTTTTTTTTCCAAATAAAACTTTGAAAAGGGTCTGAGCAGCAGGTGAGCCAGGCAGAAAGAAAGAGAAAAAGAGAGAGCAAGAGAGAGAGAAAGAGAGAGCAGAGCACCGGGGAAATGCTTCACCTGTTAAGAGCAGACGGATGAATTCAGTATTAGTGTTGCCTCACAATCTTCTGTGTTGTGTTTGGTCAATTAAAACTACACAGACTAATGAAATCGAGTCTAATAAAACATGATTGTTTGCCATTTTGAGTGTACTCAGCAAACTCTCAGGTAATTACACAAATGCATGTTCATAAACTATGAGTGGGGAGAACATCTAACAACTATGTTTTAGTTCTCAGTCATGTACAGAGAAGTCTACAACACTACGTTTTACCTCTGGGGGTAAGAGGGGGGTCACAGCGCCACAGGTCAGCCTGTGAAGGCCTGGAAGTCGGACTCTGTAATGGCAGGGAGAATGAGTCAGGTAAAAAGACCAGGAAAAACAAAATCATTAACACAGTAAATGCAAATGAGCTTTACAAATGCAACCCATTAATAGGAATGATGAATGTGCAACAGTCACACTGAATTACATGCTTTTTTGGGAACAGTGTATAACTAAGATAAATAAAATGTATTCAACCTAATATAGAAATGTACGGCCTTTCATGTCCATTTATATCAGGTGAACCGGAGAAAAGGTATGGCTAAAAATGAGCAGTCCATCAAAACTACTTTTTATGCTGAATATGTAAAAATGAATTCTTATGAGCAGAGCTGGTTTAATACAGTTTATTGTTCTTCATATTACCAACAACATCATGTAAACAATGACAGTGCTGAATATGAATTAGGATACTTCTGTTCTGAGATAACAATGTTGTCACGCATTGTGAAAAGTAGTTATTGTGTGAATGACTTTGTAGACAAAAATATGTTCATTAATATTCACATAGCATCACATTTTGTGCTTTATTTTAGTGTTTGATTTATTGATGTTTTGTTCATTTTATATCACAAAGCTTAAAGTTATGAAACAAACTGCACAAGCAAGTAAAAAAAACAAAACAAGAAAAAACGTATAATGTGCTCTGGCTAACTAGTACACAAACAGCCATGTGAAATATAGCAATGGCAACAGTATCATTTGATCCTAGCAAAATAAAAGGCACAAACAAAATATCAATACTGAATAATTCTGATGTGTACAAAACTATTGAGACATTGTCAGTCAGTTATTTGGCACAATCTTATAAAATGATATCATTTTGGATCCACATTCCCTTACATGTCTGTCTGTAACGCATTGGCAATAGGAGTGCTAATCACTAAAAATTAGCCCTCGAAAGAAGATTATCTTTCAGTTTTTGTGCAAAATTTCCCAACTACAAAAAAAGTCCCTTTCGCATTCAACAGGTACCTCTGAAGGAATGACAAATGCATCGTAAAAATCACAAAGCACCCCGACTAGAGTCAGAGAATCTCCTTTCTAGAAGGAACAATAGCAAACACTGATGAAGTAGAGCACTCCACTGCTGGAAGAATAAATGGAGCGTTCATTGGGAATGGGCTGCCAACTAATCAGCAAGATATATCTATTAAAATTCTCTGCAATACTCAAAATACACTAAAAAGTCATGTTGAATATTGGATTATGCAGGTTAGCCGTTATGCTAACCATATGCTAGCTTTCCAATATCCCAAAAATGCACCCTTCAAAGACATGTCAGTCCACCTGATGCCAGCAATCCAAAGGATTCACAGGGAGAGTGTGTTTCTGACTAAGAAAGCAACTTGACTATTTTTACTGTTAACACAGTCAAGGCTAGCAAATAATATCCCTAGACACCTATTTCTGTGTTTACTGACATTCTAAAATATCCCATACAGTACCTTCAAACTTCCTACTGTAAAGTGTCCTGTCTTTGTGTAGTATAAACACATTTTGGCACTTGTTATTCATTCCTTAAGGCAAGAAAATACAAATTCAACACTGTCATTTTTGTGCAATGCCATCAGCCCTGCCACAAGAGACAAAACTGTTAAAGCAGTAGCTTGAGAAGGATTTAAAACAACAACAACAACCATAGAGAGAACATAATGTTAACACTGCTGATTTCACACACAAGCATGATAATTCTCCACAGTCTTACTAACAGACCACACACTGACACTTCCTTTTCTTCTTTACCACATTATTCCCATTGGCCGGCATTTTATCATTCACTTTATCCTCTCTAACACTCTCTGGATGCAAACTTTCTGAACCCGTATCTAGACCCTGTTCTGTTAGTCTGTCTTCTGGAGATGAGGGGGTGCTTTGGTCTGAGTCATCCGTCACTTCTCTCTTGTATTTGTTTTTTTGAACGGCTCCCTTCCAATTCCCATCACCTGGTTCCCTCCCCCTCCCTCCCCCAGCACCTGAGATCACGTCCTCTCCCCGCTGCTGGGCCTCCATCTCCGACAAGCTGTAGGCCAGCGCCATCTGGAGGTCTTCGTCCTCGTCTTCACTGGCATCGGGGCAGTGGTAGAACGGGGCGGCGCTGAAGGATCGTAAGGCGGGGTTTGTGGAGCTGTGGTTGGGGGGGTGGAGCAGTGGCTGTTGGGATTGTCTGGGAGGCTGACTGGACTGCTCTCTACGACTCAGTTCCAGAGCTAAAGCCATCTCATCCTCCACACCTAGATACAAAAACACAGCTGAATGTCAGATCACTTCTACAGCAACTCCTCAATGCGGAAATTAGGAATTTGCATATATGGAAATACAAGAAGCTGGTGTAAAATGTAAATGAGTTTACTAAATTTACCTACAAGCCTAAGCTGAAGTTTTGAGAGCAATATTTCTGAAAATAAACAGTTGAAGGAATATGTGGGATTATTGTTTTAATTATTTATCTGAATCAAATAAAGTAATGCGACTCTATTAAAGTTTTAAATGAAATTAAACTAGGATAAAGGATAATGACGCACTGAAAACGATTGTACTGAGATTGTCGAGCTAAGAAAAATGTTATATTATATATTATAATATCCCCACTTTTATAACTAGGTCAAATGACTTGCACATGCACTAATATTCAAATGTTTGAGGTCTGTAAGATTTTTATTTATTTATGTTTTTTAACATTAAAAAGTCTGATATTTAACAAGGCTGCATTTATTTGATCAAAACTACCATAAAACAGTAATATTGTGAAATAATAATAAGTTTTCTATTTTAGTATTTTCAAATGTAATTTCAGCATGAAAATGATTTGCTGTGCAAGAAACAATTCTGATTATTATCAATGCTTAAAATATTATTTTTTGGTGGAATAAGCTTAATATTTTTGTAGAAACATGATACATTTATTCACAATTCTCTGATTAACAGAAAGTTAAAAAGACAATTTAGAAATATTTTGAACATTAAAACTTTTGATCAATTTAATACATCCTTGCTAAATAAAAGTACTATTTCTTTTAAAACCCCAAATGTTTTAATGGTAGAGTATGTGTATTAGGACTGCAAACACATCTACTTTCCAAGGCACAGGCAGTCCTGAGTTTTATTCTGAGTCTGCAAGGTGGATTTTTACATGCACATTAAATATAGAGATTGCCTTATGGCTCTGTCCAATATTATTATTATTACGATAGCAAAACAAGAATTACCATTGATGAGGACAGTTTTCAGAACCCCATCCTCCTCAACCTCTGTTCTCTCCTGGCCATTTTCTCTGACCCTGAGGGAAGAAATGTAATGTTTATAAAAAAAGAAAAGAAAAGGGAAATATGTAAACATAATTCAATTCTTGTTCCTTTCTGTAAATCAGACCTTCACATTATGTCAAAGTGAAAACCCTCTTTTACTATTCTACATCAATTGCGTTTTAATTACTCATTTAGTAAAAAACCTAAAAAAACGTCTTTTTTGTTTAATCTGCCAGATGCACTGTCATACATAACTGATTTCAAATAAAGATAGTAGGATAAATTGTTAAATAGTACCACATATGGAACAAGGATAACAGCAGACAAAAATCAGTTTAAAGAGAAGCAAACTGACTTTTTTGTGGAGACACGTTTTCCATTGACAATACGGGTGGAAGTAGAAACAGACTTGAAGCTTGCCCCTCCCATGCTGCCCATCCCACCCATTGAAGAGGAGAAGGTGGTAAAGTCAGCTGTTGATAAAAAAATAATAATTCAGCTCTTAAGGATTTGAAAAAACAATTCTCATGAAGTGACTATCAACTCATTTATTTGCATTTATGTTATCAATAAAGTTTACTTAAATTAAGTATTCATCTTAGAGACTGACCACATATGGAATATATACACAAAAAAAGAGCACGAAGCATTTTTAAAAACCAACCATTTGCTGAGGGGAAGGAGAAGAAGCGACTGGGCCCAAGCCTGGAGGAGGAGCTGTGAAACCCACTGTGCATTCCACCAAACGGGAAATCATCTAGCGGGAAAGTGTAGAAAAATGTGCAAGTGGTTAGGAGGGTAGGGTCAGGGAGACCTCGATGAGTCTGTGAGGCAGTGGTTCTTAAACCTTTTGACCTTTAGAGTTTATTTGAGTGCCCTTTTATATAGCTGATAGCTGATATCATGTAACTCCAGTCCTGTACATCTAATGCAATTAAAACAAATAGACTCAAAAGTATGATGTCAGTTTAATGTTGTACATCTTTATTTTTAGATTTTAGCATTAAAGGGATAGTTCAAAGCTGTATGAATTTATTTCTTCAGCTGAACACAAAGATATTTTGAAGAATATCGGTAACCAAACAGTTGATGAACCCAATTGACTTCAATAGTATTTCAGTCAATAGGGCCCAACAACTGCTTGGTTACCGGCTTTCTTTTAAAATGACTTACTTTGTGTTCAGAAGAAGAAATAAATTCACGAAGGTTTGGAACAACTTGAAAGAGGAGTAAATTATGACAGAATTTTCAGTTTTTGGGTGAACTATCCCTTTCATATATCTAATTTTTCATTCCTCAGCAAGTTTGCTGAGACCCCCTAGTGGACCCCTGGCTGAGAGCCACTACTAGAAGGGAAATTCTGACAGAGATAAAACACCTTTACTGGTATCAAAGCAAAAATTCAAGATCAGCATATTTACAGACTAAAGGCAGTTCACACCAAGAGCAATAACGATAACTATTTTAGCATCCACACCATTGGACGATATTGTTCTGCGCCATGCTGCAGTTTTGAGCTCTTTAAAGCAGGATGGATTCTGATTGGCTGTCAATGTTTTTATCATTCAGTAGCAGGACACATTTATTCTGAAATTGATTCCAAACGTTATTGTTTCTCTGTGCCATTACTGTTATAGTTGTTATGTAGACTCTGCTATCCTTTTACACTTCAAACTATTTTTAGAACTGTATCTTTATCGTTAGAGTCCTTGGAGTGAACGAGCCTTAACTCTCTGAGAACCCACCAAAAAAGTCAGCGAATGGGTCCTGCCCTCCGAAGAACTCTCGAAACACCTCGTCTGGGCTGCGGAATGTGAAGGAGAATCCCGGGAAGTCATCAGGAAATGAAGAGCCACCAGAGCCTATAAAACAGAAAGATCTCACATTAGCACATGTAACAATAAGAGAGTATCAAGCAGTGTAAAAGTTCTCCTCACCTGAGCTTGACATGTCCGATCTACCGTATCTGTCGTATGCATCTCGTTTGCTTTCTTGGAAATGAGAAAAAACAACAGTGAAATGCAACACCCTAAGTAACCTAACCCTTTCCTAACAAGTGATTTAACCATTTATAACATTGAGATAGAGTTAAATGTCCTATGTCCTACTGTCTGAAAGAACTTCATAGGCTTCTGCTATCTCCTTGAATTTTTTCTCTGCCTCTTCCTTGTTGTCTGGATTTTTGTCAGGATGCCACCGCAGAGCCTGTTTCCTGTAACTGTATACACACACATAAATAAACAGTTAAGTTAACTTAGCTCGACTGGCATCTCAAGATTGGGAGAGGCCATTCGCATACAACACGTTATTGCGTCCATCTTTGCATTTGTAATAGTTTTTCTGTATAAACATGCACTAGACTGACATATCACAGTGATATTGTTGAACTAAGGTAAGTTAAAAAACAGTTTAAATCTTTTAAAATGTCCTGTGTGAATGGACCTTTTTAAAATTCAGGCATGATATCAGCTTGATCAGCATCAGAAAACGGACACTTTCATTAATCTAAAACTAGAAAAACTGTAAATCCATTAATTATTCTGTTAGTGGGCTTTACAAAATATATTAGCATATCTCAAATAGTTGGAGTATTACAGACCGCAGAAAACATGTTTCTGATATTCTTATGGATGTAACATATTCAAATTACCATTCAAAAGTTTGGGATCATTGAGATTTTTTTTACTTTCTATTCACCAAAGAATCTTGTGGAAAAAAATATTAAACAGCACAACTGAGCAGCAAATCATCACATTGAAGACTGGAGTAATGATGCTTAAAATACAGCTTTGCGTCACCGGAATAAATTATATTTTAAAATATATATAAATAAAAATACTTAAAACTGTTATAATATTTCACACAATATTATAATTTTTCACCAAGTAAATTCAGACTTGCTTAGCATAAGAGACTGTCCAAAAACATTAAAAAAAAAAAAAAATCTTACCAACCCCAAACTTTTGAAAAGCACTGTGGTTGATGGATACTTTATATAGGTAAACTGTCTCAAAATTACTTGAATCTTCACTTGCATCTGTTAAGAGACAAATTTAGAAACACACAACAGCAAACAATGCCAAGGCCATCCCATACTGCAAGTTACTGATAAGTGAAGGCAGTTTTAACTTACGCTTTCTTGATGTCATCTTGAGAAGAATTTCGTGACACTCCCAGAACATCATAGTAATCCACCATTGCGGCCTCCGGTGTAGAGCACCTGTTACTCAAAAAGTAATAAATGACCTCATTTAAATCACAAGAATGTGTCATGGGGTGTTTCTGAAACCCTGATTGCCAGTTACAGTCATGTTCACACAATTAGGCATCTGTGATCATTCAAATCAAATGCTATGCCATCAAAACATACAATAACAACTTGGGTATACCCACTGATGGTCATACCCTGTGATTTTAATGTAAGAACTTTTGGTAGGTTTTCTACAGGAACTTGTTTTATTATTATTATTGCTCGTATTGCTCGTGGTGTTATGAATGAACAGATCAATGAACTGTTGCTGAAGATGACAATTTATCAGAAACGGCTGGATTTGGATTAATAGACTGCATATAGGCAGGCATTCCTCTGGAGTCTGGCCTGCCCATGTCTGGAACTCTCTGGAAACCGGACACAATGTGATGTTATTTCAAGCCCAAAGTTAAAACGCGATTTGTGTGTGTGGGCCATATGGCCACTGACAGCTGCTGCTGCTGCTGAAACACGCCTGATCATCAGACACACACTACTCCACAAATACAGCATTTTAGAGATCCTGCAATCATTAAGACCGCCCTATTAGAATAACTTTTACCTTTTTTAGAAGTATGTCCAGCCAGAAGAAGCCGCGCTTCAATAAACCGGACTGAGCTATTTCTGGTGAAGCCACGGGAGCGACAGTCCGTTCCGACTCCCAAGACGCCGATCACAGGAACTGACGCTTGTTTTGACGTACGCCTGAGTACGGAATTCCGTTAGAATCACCCATTTACCGTTGGCACACCGCGCTTCATTACTTCAGCGTGTAACCAATACCCAACTTCTATATATGTACTTCGCCCTCTTGCTGCCAAAGTGCGAATGCGGTGCGTCACGATCAGCTGCTCAGGCTGCGCCATCTAGAACATGCCTGTTTGTTTACGTCACAGGCCCCGCCCACCACTTGAGCCATGTGTAGTACAGAGGTGGAAAGTACCTACGAACTAGGCCTACTATATTAATAAAGGTGTTTAAACAAAGATAGCGCATCCTATCAGGCTCAAAAATAACTAACGGATTATACGAGACACACTATTAACAAATGTCATAAAAACAGACCGCACCAAAAATGGAGTGGACTTAGCCTATAGAATAAAAATAAAATATTAATAAAATCATATGGGATTGGAAATATTTTATTTTCTGTCAAGGAGCTTTGACGGCATTGTATATACATTGTAACACCGTGTCCTAACTACACGCGAAGCGATAAAATTCCAGCGACAGCAAATGTGTCTGTCCACACTAGACGCGACGCAGCTGTGATATGCCACACATTCAGAACAGCGTGTGAGCCCATGGTGTGAGCAGAGTCTCTCTGTGAAAGCGCACTGTTGGCCCGCACTCGCATTGGAAAAGGGTAAGGACATAATCAAATCAAGAAATAACATTATTAAAAATCAAAACATTAACAAAATATACTCATTGACTAATTTTGTTATGAAGTACAGTTGTATGTTTGCATAGAATTCATTTTGAACGCTAACATTATAAGCTTTCAAAATCTGAGGTAAATTATCCGTTATCGCTTGTGGCACAGTGACCTGTTTTTAACTAAAAATAAATAATGTATACTCATAACCAGTGTAATTTCTTCATTCTGTCAGCCGCGACGTCGCAGAAATAGGAACCGTTTCTAAATTAGAAACTTCGCGTGTCGCCGTCGCGTCTGGTTAGGACAAAAGCTCTGATTAACATGGAAAAGATAGCCTAAGTTACCTTTTATCGCGTGTCGCGGCGTCGCGTCGCGTGTAGTTAGGACACGGTGTAAGAATACATCCTTCTGCTATGTTTCAGCAACCTAAAAATGTAAAGACGTTAGTAGGCTAAACTCGATTTCACGCGATAGGGATGGATTATTTTCAATTAACCTGTTGAATCGGTTCACAAAGAGTATTAAACGATTCATTTCTTATTGCAAATAAGAAATTGTTATTGTTATTTATTTAGTTGTAAGATGAATAGAGCTGTATTCATTTATGTATCTGTAATATGTATAGAGCAATATTTGGTTTAATTCAATTATTTTTAAAATGATTATTTTTTCGAATCACCTGTTAACAACTGAATTCATGACTCAAAACGAACCAAGCATTTGTTGAAGTTACAAATTGTAGCCTATAGGCTATAAAACTATGAGTTCTTCTTAAAATTAAAACTTTTCCCCCAAATGACTTTTTTATACTGTACATTGTTTATTTGACAGTACTGTATGTTTAATTGTTTTTATTTGTGCATTATAGACTACAAAAAACATAGTATATATAAAAAAATAAGTGTAAATAATAGCCTATAGGCCTATTACATTATTATAAACTATAGAAGCATAATATAAATAGTAGCCTATAGGCCATATACTTTAATAATAATAATAATAATAATAAATAATATTATAGTTGATTCTCTTCCTTTGTCTGCTAGTTCACATCTCTCACAGCCAATAACACAATCCGCCTCCAAACAATTGATCAATTCTAAAATCATATGAACTATAGCACAAGAGATACTGTAACATTCAAGTGCTGCCATGAAGAAGCATCGTTGGTTGTGATTGTGAACACTAAAAGTCTGTGTTTTGAGATCGAGGCAATCTTGTTTGTGAATGAATATAGCATTTAGGTTACGCATGCACACGTATTGTATTGATTTTTTTTTTCCCCCACAGAAGAGGTAGCACCATCTCCACAGGAGACTTATTGTAAAATGGATGCATACTGTGATTCACCAGAAGGTGGAAGCAAAGCTATGTCTCAGATCTTGTGGCATCCACTTATCTTACTTATTGGCTAGTTGACAACTGATATAATAAATATTTTCATGGTGCCTTATATATAATATAGGCTAGTGAATAAAGAAGAGAGTATACTTTCACACCAATCATTGTAATACATTACTGTAATCGTGTAAATGTAAATTAATGATTTCCTACACTGATAAACACATTATAATGCTTTTACAGTTAGTGCTCATTATTAGAATACCATTGTGTGCGTTACATGTAGAATTTTAACACTTAAATTGACTGTTCTCGTGCTCATTCAGTGAAGACTGAACGCTGTTCACTTTTCACTTCGGTCACTCCGACATATTAGGCTGAAGCAAGAGCCTTTTCTACTAGGCATCTCTGAGTGGAAAGTCGAAAGACTCAATCTAGAAAATAAAACTTATTCTATAAACGGAAACTTGCATATTAATCTATAAATATTGGTATAAATACATACATACATACACACACACACACACACACACACACATCTATATATATATATATATATATATATATATTACAATTCCTAGGCCTTGCTGTTTGATACTCCAGGCTCCATGTGCAGGGCTGTCACGATTATGAAATTTGGCTGATGATTAACCATTTGGTGATAACAGATTATTGCTCTTAACACCTTTAAATATTCAAGTAATTTATTAAATGATTTTTTTAAAGAACAAATGTAAATAAAAATGTGAAAATATGAATAACAGAAACAATCACAAAACATGACCATAAAATAAAAAACTGAAAATTTCTCATTCCCAAATAAAGTCATAAACATATTTCATAAAGTTGAAAAAACTGTAAATAACAGAAACAAATAATCACAATAAACTAACATAGCAGAACAGGCCATAAATCACATTCCAAAACAAATCCAATCCTGCTCCTTAATGGCTTGGTAGATTATTGGAAAGAAACTAGCATGCTAAATTTCTCTGGCAGGTCACAATATTCCCAGCTGTATTGGACATTCCTTCCAAAGTAAGCAGTACTTGTTGCACAAATTTCTTGCCAACTTGGAAATGAAAGGAAACCTGGATTCATTGTCTCACCACCACATTAAACGGCCTGCCGGAGTATCTAGTGCCTCTTCCCTTGGGTATCGTGTCAGTTCAGCATCCATTCTTTTTGGTAAGCCATGTGTATAAGGTTAAGCTCTTCTGTTCTGCTTTTGTCTTCTTTTTTGGAGGAGGTGCAAGAGGTTTTGTAGACATCATCATCTACCACAGCTCTATCAGATACTGCAAAAAGTAAAGGGCAGCTGTTACCTTAAGCAAGATCTCTACCTAATATAACACTTAACAATTACTTTTGCTAGTGTAATCTTATGCAGTCATGTTGACTGTCATATATGAAAGAATCCAGTTAATTTAGATTGCAGAATGAAAATCATTGTTATATGTTATCTGACCAAATATCATCATCTGGTCTTTGGCATCATTTATAATATCAGCTTCTACAAAGTGGCCCCTGTATCTTAGGTCAAGAACGGTGGCCTTTTTCAGTAGCTCTTGAAGTGGAGCTGGGCTATACTTTCATCAAGTACAGAACACACAGATATTTATTGTAAGATGTATGTCACAAGGACAAGGTCGAGTTTAGGTGCCCATATTTTCTGTCATCAATCAGGACAAGTCTGATTTTAGATATCTGCACCAAAATGTTTTGTTTTGTACCCTATCGGGTAGAAACATCCCAGAGGAAATTTGACATGTTTGTCAATTTTGTCTAAATTAAAATCATAGCACAAACAAATTATTTTGACTTAACATTAAGTAATCTAGTTAGAAAAGCCAATACATTTAGTTTTTATCATAGTATACTATATATATATATATATATATATATATATATATAACCCACAGATGTCAAAATTACCCTGTAACATTGCACAAGAACATATTTTGCCAGATATGTGATACATTTTATAAACAACAGACGTACAATTTTTGCCTGAAATATAACAAAATAGGTACAAAAAAAAGATACATTTACATTATTAGTTATCAATAATAAATAAAAATAGTTTAATAAAATAATTCACTTACCCACTCAACTAATGCTGAGGAATGTTGGCCTCCGTCTGTCTGCACTACCTGTTTCAGGTCTCTTCTTTTTATCCAGCTCATCATCAAAGTGCTTACCAGATTCCAGCAAAGTCCGAGGGCACTTCTCACTTTCTTGGCAGATTATGGCCGAAGCAATTTAGCCATGGCCAGTCATGTTTGCCCACTGCAGCAACAATATTGAAAGTGGATCAGCAGTATGGTTCTGTGAGGTGAATCACTGTACTGTTAAGCTCATGTACACATCCATATTTGCACTGGTCTGCATGACTGTTGTGACTAAATAAAACAAAATAATACTGGGCAATAATTGCGTTATCTAAAATGGCCGCAGCTAGCAGCTTGGTTGTTTAATAATCGTGACAGTCCTATCCATGTGACACTGTGATGACTCAGTGTCTGGGCTTCTTTCTTCAGGGTTCCTCAGGCAGGGGCTCTTCATTGATGTCCACGTGGATTCGAGGAGCGAGGCTTCTGCTGTTGTGGAGAAGCTCTCCGTGATCAGGACACGTCCATCAGAATGCTCCATCTCCACCAGTGAAGGGCAGTTGAGTGTCTCCCACAGTCGCTGCTTGATCTTCAGTCCTAGTTTAAGACTGTAGGGACGGGATGCCATCCCCACACGACCACTGCGTGACTTCATCATGGGCTCCATAGTTCTGGTAGGCCTGTACGCGGTAGCCGTGGATGGAGACAGACTCTTCCTGCTGACTCGCGTCCACTGAAGAGACTGAAACGGCTGGACGGATGAGGGGAAGGACAGCAGCGTTCTTCAGGTATAGCGCTCTTCCAAACCTGTGGGTCTTTGAGCTCTGGCAGAGATGCAGCTGTAAGTGTGATCTAACTCAATTACAGCTGACAGCTGTGAAAGTTCACAGAAGTCTTGAATTTAAGGGATGCCCTCCATCAAGAATCCCCTCAGGTGTGAGGGAAGAGCCCTGGTTCTTCTCAGGCAACGCTGCTCCGTGCTGCTGAATCAACAATACAAATGATGAAACTTAGCAAATTGTTAAGTTGCAAAAATTAAGCTTCAAGGCTCCAAAGGGCCACGCACACATTGCAAAGTTTCAGAAGCGAAAACCGCATTTAAATATGGGAGTCAGTCCCCTAAATTATCGTTTCATGTGTGTACGGAACATGACTCAGGCCCTAGAGAAGTTTGAACCTGTGTAACAGGGCACATGTAGGCCTAAGTGTGAGTGCGCGCGAGTAAGCAAGCAAGTCACAAGTTCGTGTGTGAGTGAGTGAGTGAGTGATCCAGTATGCGTCATGAAGCTCAATGCAACTACAAATTCATTTATTTTTTGCTAACATACAGTTTCAACGAAGTTACGTCCCATTGTCCACATACTGTATGTGGACATCAACTTTAGCAGCATAAATCTTTAATTTTTTGTCAAAAGTGCATGCCATTTTTAATCATACAATAGGCTACTAGTATGCATAACTTAACAAGAATCAACAATGAAATGTTATTAGATGTTTTACCTTGTGAACGTTTTGGTCTGGTGTGTCTGCATTTGGTCTGAACTGTGTTCACCGCCATCTTTAAATTATTTATGTATTTTTTTTCCTCTTCTGACGCCACAGGATGGCAGCTTACGGAAGCCCTAAGAGTAGAGGGCTTGTTATCTCTTGTTATCTCGTGATCACGACTTATTTTTCTTGTGATCTCGAGATAACAAATGTTGTTTTCTCGTGATCACGACTTAATTTTCTCGTTATCTCGAGATAACAACTGTTGTTTTCTCGTGATCACGACTTAATTTTCTCGTTATCTCGAGATAACACATGTTGTTCTCTTACGAGAGGTTCTCTCGTATTGCGTAAGCTAGCTTACGCTACGGGAAAGATTCATCTTTGCTGAGAAGTTGAAGCCAAAAAATTATTCCATAATTTTGTAATCATTGTCAACGCAGTATCTCTGAGGCAGACCATGAGCGGGGCTAGCTAGCAGCTCATTGGTTCGCTCAGAGAAAATGCACGAGCCTATGGGAGAGCGGTGCTGAGCCCGCGGCCAATGATCTGACGGCACTCGCTCATTGCGTCAGAGCCCGCCGTAAGGGGCGTGGCTATAGTGTATAAAAGTGGCTCTCCCAGAGACTCGGTCGTCGACTCTTCATCGATCAGCAACGTACACCTATCTGCTTTACTGGGCAGACAACGCCGGTCCTAGAAGCCGCCGGACCCCCCTGCAGATCCTTGTGGGCCGCCGCCGCCCTCCGACCGCTCTCCCTCTCCGCCCCAGCCGGACATACAGTTGCTGCTGAATGGCCGTTCTGTCGCCTCCGACGACACCGCAAAAGAGAAGGACTCTTATTCGCTGCACGCTTCAGACAGGTCGTCGATTGGCTCTATACGAGAGAGTCTGCGGGGACTCGCGCCGGCATTGAAGAAGAATTGTTGCGTCTCCTCTCATAGGCCGTCGTCCGCCTGGGATTCGAGTGGTCGCCTCCCCCCGAGCAACCACCGAACCGCATGGATGGTAAATTCCTGAGAGACACTTGTGGCTCACGCTTGCCGACATGGGAGATTCAGAACGCGCCGTTTTCCTCAACGCGCCTATCTTTCCGACCGGCCTCTCCGGATCTGCTGTCACGGGCATCGTCGACCGCTTCTTCGAGGTACAAAGCTACCCAGGGCATGAACTTGTTACTGCCGCGCCAGCACTTCTGCAGGCCGCTCTCACGAACCTCCTGCCAGAACCCCGCAACAGCACCCGCTTCAGCAACTCTAGCGTAGACAGGGCGGCCGCTCTCGCTCTGACAGCTGCCGCAGACAGCCTCCTCCCCGGGGGCCTCGACCCAAGATCACGTTGAAGCCTGATCAGCAAAAGTCTGCCTAGCACAGCTGAGAAAAAAACGGCCCTCTCCCGCTGCTGCCGACCGCCGTCAAAGTTTCCTCCTCTGCTAGTCCCCGACGCCTCGCCGACTACAGTAGTGTTAACCGTCACAGACAAGCCGGTTTCCCTGCTCGCGAGCGACAAAAAGCCGTTTCCACGGCTACCCAAAGAGTTCTCAAAAAGAGCATGAAAGTCTCAAGTGTAAAAAAATGTACCCACAAGCATGTGTTCACTCATACACTCAAGCACCATGTGCCCCGTGTCTCCCACAGAGCCCATTCTCACAGAGCGGCCACTGACCGCTCTAGTAGCAGAAAACATAAACACGCCCATGCGCGTGTCCCCCCTCTGCTCTCTCTGTCTCACGGTCCAAAAACTCCTCTCTGAGTGTCCCGTTGCCACACACACTAAGCGCGCCCAGCCCGGTATGTGCAGCAATCAGGGCGAAATTGCTATTTCATGCTGCGAAGCTTGGGAAGCCATCCCCGGCATCTCCCCGTGGGTTTTAAGCATCATAAAGAATGGTTATCTATTACAGTTTCGTCGCCGCCCGCCCCGTTCGCGCGTTCGGCTCGAATCCGCTGTCAGTCCAGCTGCGATGAACACGCTCCGCACAGAAATAGCGAAGCTGCTGCAGAAGGGCGCAATAGAGAGAGTTCCGCCATCTATGACCGAGTCGGGGTTTTACGGCCGTTATTTTCTTGTTCCCAAGAAAGACGGCGGCCTCACCAATCATTCCTGTCTGCCCGAATTAACGATGCAAAATGTGAAGCAAAGTGCCAGTGACTGAAACATCCCCCGGGCTGTGTTAATTAAGGGATACAGTACCTGTATCGGAGGTTTTATCCACGACATTGAACGTAGGAATGGACGCCAATTTGCCAGTTTCTGCGAGCTTGCAGCAGTCAGAGGTAACTTAACGTTAGTAAGCTAAGCTGTAATTTGGAGTTGTTGACTGTGTAAGTTACTATGTTAGATTTTATTTAACAGTTAACATGTCTTTAATCGACAGTTAATAGGAGCCCATCACATATTTGTGAGGGCTATAGGTATTTTCCCTCGGTGCTGAAAAATGAGGCACCACAACATACAGGAGCTGAGAGTTCATTGTGACTTCATATCAACAATGTACCTTTCCCTGTCTGACTGAAAATAACATATTGATTTGATCTCATTAACATGTTATCTGTAGTTAATGTAATATCACATAAGCCTTATTGATATCTACTAAAATATTATTGTTTAAAATTAGCAAAGCCAGACAGGGCTAGGTGCATGTTGCAATTTGTTGACAATGATAGTGTAATGAGAAGATATACACTTTATACACTATAGCCACGCCCCTTTCGGCGGGCTCTGACGCAATGAGCGAGCGTCGTCCGCTCATTGGCCGCGGGCTCAGCGCCGCTCTCCCATAGGCTCGTGCATTTTCTCTGAGCGAACCAATAAGCTGCTAGCTAGGCCCGCTCATGGTCTGCCTCAGAGATACTGCGTTGACAATGATTACAAAATTATGGAATAATTTTTTGGCTTCAACTTCTCAGCAAAGATGAATCTTTCCCGTAGCGTAAACTAGCTTACGCAATACTCGTTCCCTCATCTAGAGAGAACCCGAGGTTACGTTAGGTAACCAATTCGTTTTCTCGTGATCACGACTTAATTTTCTCGTTATCTCGAGAAAACAACAGTTGTTATCTCGTGATCACGACTTAATTTTCTCGTTATCTCGAGATAACAAAAGTTGTTTTCTTGTGATCAGGACGTAGGCAAGAACAGAATAAGCAGACTAAAAGCATAATAATGCAGCATGGAT